TCGAACCTGCAGTTGGTGCCAGTCTACTGGCCTATTTGGGGCTCTAAATACCAGTAGGACTGGTGGATGGTCCGAGGGAAGGTCCGTAAGCACCTCTTGTGTTGGAGGCGCTCGCAGTCCCCTGTACACAACGATGTCCAGTACGCTATCTCTATGCGGGCGGACCGGGTCGAGCCGTGTTGGCTCGCGGGGGCCCGCTATCTCATAGCCGTACGTGCTGGCATCGTGAACGAGTTGCTTGCCCGTGGTGTTGCTGGTGGTGTTGTGCCAGGCCTGGTGTTTGGCATTCAGGTCACCCGCTACGATCGTCGGTGTTGTTGGAGGTGCGGTGAGCAGTAGGTCGCGGACCTCTTGAACTCGAAGGGGTGTTGAAGGTGCCCGGTATGCGGCGTACAGGCGCATTTCACCTCCGCCCACCTGGATGTCGACGCCGAGGGCATAGAGGGTGTCGAGCCTTTTGGGTTCCACGGCTTGGTGTACTAACGTTCTCTTCACCAGGACAGCCAGTCCACGGTAGGCTTCTCCTTGCGGCGTCACCTCGTCCTGGCGGTACACGAAGTAGCCCGGGATCCTGAGCTGGAGCTTGGATTTGAGGTATGTCTCGCTGATCAGCATGACGTCGACCCTCTGCTCTTTGAGGAAGAGGCGTAAAAGGCCCACCTTTCCCTTCAAGGAGTCCGCGTTCCAGTGAACCACTCGAAGACTATCCATTGGAGGGAAGTGCTTGCAGTAGTCCGGTTGTGTTTATTTCGCCAGTCCTCACACGCTGTGCAAACAGCGTGAGAAGGGCGACGAGCTGGTCCCTCTCAGGGTCCTTCTTCGGCTCCTCCTCTCCCGCTTTGGTTGCGGAGGGATCTTGCCGTCTCAGCTGTCGCGGCCCTTTTGTTGCGGTGCCTCCGATTTTTTTTGGCCTTCTGGTTGTGGTGACCCGGGTTGGCTGCGGCCATTAGTGTGGCTGGGGCCGAGTCGCCGACGGTGTTGGGTTGCGCGATTGTCTTTGGCGGGCCTGTTTTGGGGATCAGGCCCACTTTCCAGGCCCAGGTTCCTCCCGCGGGCGCGGACAGCTTGACGCTGGGTGGTCACCGCCGCAGCGCACACATGCCAACCTTCTGTGGCAGTTGTGGCTGCTGTGCCGGAATTGTTGGCAGCGGTGACACTGCGCGGGTCTTCTTTTGCTCCTCCAGGCTTCTATTTTAACACCGGGGATACCGAGCATCTCGTCGACGTCGTAGATCCCCGGCACTGTTGTGGCAGTCCTCTTAAGGATTGCGAGGAGGATACACCCCGGGCAGTCGCCGCGACCCCGGATATTCCGGACATACTCTGGGTCGTAGCCCAATTCCCTGAGTTCCTCTTCAACCTCTTGTGGAGTGGCGTTACTGGGTAGCCCTCTGATGGCCACCGAGGCTTCGTTCTTCCAGCAGCGAGTACGTGAACCAGGAGATTCCCTCTGCCTTTTCCAGCGCCGTTAGATAGCGCTGGATCAGGCGGTACTCCTGGTCGACCCTCGGTGTAAAGCGAAGGCCCTTCCCGAACGGGCGGGCGTTCGCGGCCCTGCCGAGTTGTTTTTTCAGCTCCCTCATGTGTTGAGCCCAGTTCGGTAATAGCTCAACAATGAGGGGCGGGTATCTGCGCCTGCGTTCCTCCCCCTGCGGTGTCGCGGTGGCGGCAGTAGCGGCGTTTGTAGCGGCGGCGGTTGTGTCGCTGCGATGTGCAGCGTTGGTTGCAGTGGCGGCTGGGATTTCGGTTGTGGTGGGTAGTGGGGATGTCACCACACGGGCGTATGACCTGCCCTCGACCGTTCCGGCGTATCGCGCCAAGCGCGGATCGCGTTGGGGGGCGGGTTTGTACCGCTTAGCCTCGGTGTCCTCTTCCGGGCTACGCGGTCGACGGATGGGGGCTTTGGTTGTTTGCGCGTCCGTGTCCATAGCCGAAGGCCGCTCAAACGCAGAGAAGGATAGCGACCTCCTCTTAGGCTCGCTTTCCGCGGACAGAGGCACAGCTCGTGGTGTCTCCGGTCGCGAAGGAGCAGATGGGCGGACGGCGTGGGCTTCCATGTCGCTATCCCCCACGGCGGAGTGCAGCGACGACGCGGACGAGCATAGAGAGCGAGGGGCCGGCGACTCCATCGCTGATTGGCGCGGTGGGGCGGCCCCGCGGTGATGGACGGGGGTAAAGGGGGCTGACGCGTCGCTCGACGCCGCTGAGGAGGGCGGCGCAGCGGTACGGGTCAGGGGGCGAGAGGTGGGTGGCGGTCGCATTGAGCTGCGGCGGCGTATCAGGTCATCCGTGGATGGCTTGGGTGCAGCCGGTCTTGGTGTTTCAGGTTGAAGCGCGTGTTGGTGGTACAAGCCCTCTCGCTCAACGCGGGCGAGCGCAGGGGGCGCTCAAGCCCGCGAAGCGTGAGGGGTGTGCGCGTCTTGCGATGGTTGGCCCTCGGAGGGGCTAGTGGTATATTTTGGCATGGCTGGCGCTCCAGGGAGCGCACGGCCAGCCCTTGGTTACACTGGTGTCGCGGGGTGGTGTGGTATTTCAGGTGCAAACAAACACAACAGATTCGCCGCTGAACACCAACTCCGAGGAGTTGGGATGTGGTCGACCCACAATTATGTCAGCACTGCTGTGTTTGTTTGCAACTGCATAGGTGGACGAACGTCTCCTACGAACACTCGGAGGCCGGGGAGCAAGGTAAACGGTTCCGTGCAGGGAGTAACACTTCGGGCAACTTCGTCGGGCTTCGTAATTCTTCGGGAGCTGCGGAGGTGTTTCTTCGTCGACGTCCGGGCTAATTGGCAGCGAGTGCCCTGTTCTTCGCTCATATTTATAGGGTGCTCGCAACGTTCGCGCGTTGGTTGGTCTAGCGAGCAGCGAGCACCGCTCCATTTTACAATTAATCATGCACTTCCCACATATTATTGTAAATTCATTATTGTTTGTATGTATTGTAGTTATTTATTCATATAATAACTTTAGGCACATTCGTTATGCACAAATAAATATTAATTCACTGAATATAATTTATTATATACGAATCTATTCTAGCGGTCTCCGGTTTCGTTCGTTGGGTATTGCAAAGAAATGTAATATTTATTTACCTATTTTAAGAACATAATCATATTAAAGTATCTAGTAAGCTCTAATTTATAAATATATACCGAATAGGTTTGATTTTATAAGTAGGTACCACCATTTATATAAGTACGAGTGTGGTGTTTCTATTTGTACTTAATTAAAGGTTTTTTTTATTAATTAATTAATGTAGTTCAAATTACATCTTCTACTTCCACAACTGTTGTTGTTATTAGAGTGTGCGATTGTTGTTCGTTCATAGATTTTAGAATTTTAAACATACAAACATACTTTGTCTCCGGTTGTGTTGACTTTTGTTGTTTGTTATAATAGAAACATTTTATAACATGAAAATATTTGTGGCCCTGAAAAGGGCCTTTTGCTTTGCTTTCGAGGAGTCTCATAACCGCAGACGTACACACACACATTACACGTGTAAGTAACGCTCTGCGGTGGTGGTGTGGCGGTGGCGCGGTGGTGGTGGTGTCCTCCTCACTTGGAGCTGGTGTACTTGGTGACAGCTTTGGTGCCCTCGCTGACGGCGTGCTTGGCGAGCTCGCCTGGCAGCAGGAGCATCACGGAAGTCTGCACCTCCCTCGATGTGATAGTGGACCTCTTGTTGTAATGGGCGAGACGGGACGCTTCGGCGGCGATACGTTCAAAGATGTCGTTCACGAACGAGTTCATGATAGACATTGCCTTACTGGAGATACCGGTGTCCGGGTGGACCTGTTTGAGCACCTTGTAGATATAGATAGCGTAGCTCTCCTTCCTCTTGTGCTTCTTCTTTTCTTGTCGGTCTTGGAGATGTTCTTTTGGGCCTTGCCCGATTTCTTGGCGGCCTTACCACTCGTCTTGGGCGGCATCGTGTGACTATTAAGTGGCGTTAGTAGTTAGAGTGAACGTGAAGCGATAGACGACCGTACCGTGCGGAGTTCAAACGCAGTGTAACGCGCGATCTTGTGGAACGTTCGTATTTATGGACCCGATAACGACGCAGCGGCGGCGCGATCGCCGAGCTCCACGGCAGGGCTTGTTAACGTTACCAAATTCATACTATAAGTATCGTTAAGTAACGATATTTTCATAAAGGTAACATTTTAACGGTAATACGGTTAAAGGTAGTTTGGTTTCGAATCCAATATATAATGTTAACCATTTAACGTTAAAAGTATCGATACTTTTATCGTTACTTACTAGCGTTGTTGCCAACCCGCACAGCCTACGGCAACGAGGCGCACGCGACGAAACGGCAACGTCACCAGCCAAAAGACGCTACTAAAATCTAAAATATTACGCAGTATGGTATCACCAAACGAGACAGTGGCAGCTTTGGAGTACAGATTTGTGTTTATAGTCAAAAGTTACTTAACTCATTTGATTAATAAAAATATATCTTTTAAAAATGGGGATAAAAACACCATACTAGGCACCATATCGGTAAGTGTGGTTTCTATATAGTTTCTATTAACTAACTAATTATAATTTTATATTTCTTACTTTGTTACATGCCTACGTATATTATGAGATAAAAATATTGTTTATTTCAATATTTTGACGGGAACATGTTCAAAAGCGATATACAATAATAATTATTAATAAAACAGCTTTATTAAATTCGCTAAAAACATAAATATGTAAGCAATTCAGAGTCAATTTTTGATACTCCTCGGAAAATCCTGCTCAAAAAGAAACTTTTCAAAGGAAGCACGGCGAAAAACAGATATTTGAAGAAAAAAAATGAATCATTTAAAACGTTGGTTTCAACTTTAAAAGAGAAATTCGGTTTGGATCGGAAAGCTGAAAATGATCTAATGTGTAAAGCTGAGGTTGTGGAGTTACGAAAATCTTTGATCAAACGAAGTAATCAGAATAAACATCCTAAATTATACACCGCACCATTACGAAAATTCGCCTTGACTTTGCACTATTATTCTACAGCAGCTTACAAACATGTTAGAGACTTCTACAATAAACAATCAATCAACAATCAATCTGCAGATGGTATTCATTAGTTGACGCAGAACCGGGATTTACTGCCGAAGCGTTTCGAGTGCTAAAAGAAAAACGCCAGTTAAGTGAAAAGCCTGTGGTGTGTACGTTGGTATTTGATGAGATGGCGATTAGAAAGCAACAGTTATTTAATAAAAAACGCAAACTTGGTATGGTTAATTTTGGAGTAAGCCCTTTGGAAGGTGAAGATGAGGATACAATAGCAACTCAGGCTTTAGTTTTCATGCTCGTGGCTTTAAATGAGAATTGGAAACTGCCTGTTGGGTACTTTCTAATATCTGGAATAACAGCTCAAACAAAGGCCAACTTAATAAAAATATGCTTAGAGAAGTGCCACGAGGTTGGTGTAACTGTCGCAAATCTCACATTTGATGGGTGCGCTGCTAATTTTAAAGCTGCTGAAATTCTAGGATGTCAGCTGTCTGATGTGAATAATTTGAAAACTTACTTCCTTCATCCAAGTACATCAGAAAAAATATGCATTTTCATTGATCCCTGCCATGTAATTAAATTAATTAGAAACTCTTTTGAACGAAAGAGATTATTGTTTGATGGAAATGACCAGAAAATTAAATAGCAGCTCCTTATTAATTTAAACAAACTCCAGCAAAATGAAGGCCTTCAGTTTGCTAATAAATGAACGCCCCGTCGTATACATTTTCGTAATCAAATTATGAAAGTGAAACTCGCCACACAGCTTTTAAGTATGAGTGTTGCTAAAGCACTAACTCTTTGTGAAGAAGAATTAAAATCTACACAATTTCAGGATTCCGTGGGTACAGCAAAATTTATTACTTTGATGAATAATTTCTTTGATACGATGAATTCTAGAAAGTCTCAATTTTACGGATACAAACGTCCTATAGACCATAAAAACAAATCTGCAATTTTTGCATTACTAGATGAAGTCAAGACATATACTACAACTTAAATTTCATTCCAAATCAAAAACCCAGAATCAGATACCCAGAATAATAATACAGATAACTAAAAAAAATATTGTTGAGTCTTCAAATAAAACAGGATTTTTGGGTGCCGTCATATGTATTGAGTCGATGAAAACATTGTATAACCACATAGTAGAAGAAAAAAAGTATCTAGACTACATATCTATGTATCGCATAAGTCAGGATCACTTAGAACTTCTTTTTGGGTTAATAAGGAAGCACGGTGGCTACAATAATAACCCAAATGTACTACAGCTTAGAGCTGCATACAAAAAAATGTTAAGTCACCTTGAACTGCGGTCATCTTTCACAGGAAATTGCATTCCTTTAGACAATTTCAGCATTTTACATTATTCGTCTCAAAATGTCATCAATAGCACAACAAACTGTAATAGACACGATCCTCTTGAATATGAAGTTTTGGAAAGTACAAGAGCTCTTGATACTGATAAAGAGGCTGAAGATAATTGTAATATTTTCGCAAATATGCTGGACGATGAAAATGTAACGGAAGCTTCTAAAATAATAGTTAGTTACATTTCCGGATATGTAAGCACTCGGTTGACCAAAGAGTTAAAATGCGAGGAATGTATTGATAGTTTGACCACGACACAGAAACTTCCGCATCATAAACTAATAAGTATAAAAGATATGGGTGGTTTATGAAGATGAACTGAAGATGTTTGTAAAATTTGTTTATCGACGGAAATGGTTATACGTCGTTTAATTCGGTGCAGTGGTGAGAATGGCCTGTCATCTAAATACGACTACAACTATATTACAACTAATGCATTGAAATGTTTCGTTGAGAAAGACGTATTCGTTTGTTTACTTGGTAATTCATTTGATCAACCTTCTACATTAAATCACAGAGTGCATCTAATACGTGCAATAATAAACAAATATACAACTGTTCGATTGCATCACGAGGCAAAGATAACAAATGATTATACGAGCAAACGCCAAAAGCTCACTAAACTTATATTGTTTAAAGGCAATTAAATAATAATTTGTGTTGATTTATTTTGAATTTGTGTAATAAACATTTATATTAAATTGAAACGATAGATTTTTATTTCAATTCGTTTATTTATTTAATGATAAGGCAGAGTACTAAATAGTAGTAGGTACAAAAGTTGTGTCACTTCTGCGTTGTAAAATCTATGGGAGCGACTTGTTGTTACACTACGTTGAACAAAACGCGTAAGCGCGATGAAATTTCCGGGCGCTTATGACATTTTGGTCGCGAGAAAACTATTCCCTTTAAGCGATCTAGCGCTGCATGTTTGAATAGTTTTGTTAGATGACATAACTATTTTTTTTATAACTAGTTTTAGCGCTGCAGCGAACTTTAGTTCTAACTCTTACCTAAATGAAGCACACTTTTAGTTCGGGGTGTCTGTTCTATACGCTAGTAATAAAGTTCAATGAAGGTAGGTATTATGGAACAAGTTTTTAGTAGGAATTATTTGTGTATTATACTTAATGAAATGAAATGTCTACGTAGTCAGTTGATTTATATGACAACTTATTTTTTTTAGAAACAACATCAATTAAATTTCTGGTGTAATGTAAATACCTACCCAAATTAATCAAATTTGGTAAGTGTAATGGTGATCATGAAAAAATGATGTTATTCTAAATATTATGTATGTACTTAAAGTTATTTTGCTTTTATTTTGTTTATTTTAATAGACCTGATGACATTTTTTTTATTTTGGTGTGTTATCGTATAACCTCACTATAATAGAATTTTTGGTGAAAGCTGTTAATGAATTTGTGTATTTTAACAGTAGGTATTTTGTTAAAGTATTAAATGATTTTAACAATCACAGAACCTGTCATCATGCCTGTTATGTGACTAATAAATAATGTAAAATTCTGCGCTTGTGTATACCAGCTTGTTCTACCCTTTTCTGTCTTCTAGCATGTGTTAGAAACCAAATGTTTATATCATCTCTTAGGGCCTCTTAGGGCAGATTTTCAGATAAAGATGATTTCACAAGATTATTATTCACTTGACCTTAGGATTATTGGGCTTCGGGTAAATAAGATAATTGTCCCGAATGCCAGCCCAAATATATTTTATTCTAAATAAAAAGTAAGTTCAAAAATTAAAACCTTACTACTGAAAAATCATGTTCTAAGAAATATTAAATAAGTAGGTAAATATTAACACATATTATTTATAATGATGTTGAGAGGATAGCTATGGTCGTATGCCTCTTTTAACTACTGCTTTTGATCTCTTAATACTGTTAGAATTTATAGTTTTGTTAGGACAGCTGGCCATTAACCACGGCTATCCTATGAACTGGAACATCACTATGGATAAGTATTTAAGATTAGTTTTTTTTAGGAATTATGCTTTAGTTTTGAACTTACCGAGTCGTTTTCTGATTTCTACCCTTACCGCTTATAATGCGTTTATGTTCCTTAGACTTATAATGCACGATATGTTCTGTTTAGTTGGTTTTATGTATAGGGTATTTGCTAATAAACCAAAACCTTTAAAAATGTAACTCAGAAAGCTCAAGGTCTAAGGCCGATGGACATAATTATTATTTAATGCTTTTATTCTTCAGAAAGTTTAAGTGAATAAGCGGTATTTAAATAGTCCTTTACCCTTTCTAAGTTATTAACAAAAATAGGCAAACACCCTATGTAAAGAAGATTAGTTAAATTATATTGACCTGTAAATATGTTACGCTTTTATTTCAGACGCAACACGGTGCTAATTTACTTAAGCATCTCAAGCATTTGCACCCCGAACAATTTAAGTGAACTACGGAAGTTAACACGTTCGTTGCATTACGAGATCTATCAGATCTCTTGCAGGACTTTTGTATTGTGCGTTGAATATAATAGTGTTGTTTCACTCCTTGCGGGAGGATCTAACGTGTAAAGTTCTTTAGGTATGAGTAGGACAAATATACATATTTGCTTCCTACTTAAAGATGAATTCAAGGACATTAAAAAAGAAATTAGAGATGGATTAGGTCCCTAACGCACAGTACTGTAATTATTTTCATTCCTTGCGTTAGAAGATATGTCGGTACTCGTGGAATCGTACGCCTCGTAGACGCAAGAGAGGGAAGGTGGGCGGCGCGGGCGCTGCGTGACTCGTTTTAGTGTTGTCCTAGCATCGACGTGGGAGGTCGCGCGCACGTTTGCGAAATAACACTCGCGTATATACCTACGTGTTGATTATCATTTTTGTTATACAATGAGTGCTTTTAAAAGAAAAAAGTGTAAAAAATCTATTTATTTTGGTGAGATTTCCAACAAAAAATCAAACGCCGGATTATACTGCTGCATCGTCCAGTAAAATAATTTTTTTGGAAAATGTTCAAATTTGCCCTCCATTAGCTAATAATGACAGTGATTCTGATTATGAAATATTTGACGCACCTAAAAAGAAAATGGTGAACCTTTCTACGTTGGAGCACACGCAGCTAAGTAAAGAAAATAATATATATATCAGCCCATGTACTGGAAAACGATTTAGTGTGCTTCAGAATACGATATCCAGTCCAAAAAGTAGTAACAATAATACCACATTATTGATGACGAATATTACACCGACTATACCTACTGATCCTATGACACCTACTCGTAGATTTTGTGGTACTGTTTCTCGTAACCATAGTGGTTTATCTACTCCTAGCTCGTGCACTCAAATGCTAACAGAAACATCCAACACAAATGCTAAAGCTTCTCCTGCCTCATTGAATGCTTTATGTACATCAAGTAGGTGCTCGTCTTTGAATAATATTTCATGTTCGAACTTATTACCTTTACAATTTAATGAAAGCAGTATGCAAAAATTGATTAAAACAACTATAAAGGAAAGAAGAACCACAGGTAATACAAACAATAGTCCATTTTCTTTTGAGTATACTTTTGAGGATGATGCGCTCACTTATGACGAAAAAGCAGAAAGAAAAACGTCTAAATGCAACTTGAACAATAATTCACAAAAACATTTAGAATTGAGAAACACTGAAAAGCAACAAGAAAATAATATAATAGGACAAGAAAAAGACCAGAATAAGCAAAATAGAAGTCTAGAAATACAGAATGAAAAAGTGAAAGAACTAGACCAGGACGTAGAAAACGAAAAAATACAAGAAGACGCTCCGGAGACGCAGACTGATGAAGCAACCAATACTGAAATAGAAGAAATCGTTTCAAATGGAAGTGATGATGATACAGGTGAAAATCTCTCATCCGATATAATAAGTGAAGATGAAGATAATATGTCTGAAAATATATCAGAAAGTGAGGGTGGAGAGCTTGAGGGTGATAAAGATTGGATTGACATTCCCGACAATGACGTATTGAGCTTCGATGAGAGCATACTTGATAGCGTGACAAATGTACCTATTAGTAATAAATTGCCCGTCGATATTTATAGTTTGTTTCTAACTGACGATATTATTGATAAAATAGTAGAAGAAACTAATAAATACGCAGATAAATATTTATTAGAAAAAGAAATTACAGCAAAATCACGCTCTAAAGCTTGGAAACCTACAGATGCAAATGAAATGCGTCAGTTTTTCAGTGTCATACTTACGATGGGCTTAAATAAGGTTCCACATTTTCACGATTATTGGTCAAAGAAATCCATTTACAGAAATGAATATATATGCTCTCTCATGGGAAGAGATAGATTTATCTTGCTTCTAAAGTTTTGGCATTTCAGCAATGAAAGAAATGATACTGAAGATAGACTCTACAAAATTCGACAAATACTTAATATGTTAAATAATCGTTTTAGAGATATTTTAACTCCAGGAAAATTTATCGTGATAGACGAATCAATGATTCCCTGGCGCGGGAGACTTCTTTTTCGCCAATACATCAAAAATAAATCGCATAAATATGGAGTTAAATTATATAAACTATGTACTCCTGAGGGGTACACTTTTAAAACCATAGTATATACAGGTAACGAAGGAAATAGCAGAGAAGTGAACCATGGAAAAAATGTAGTTATGAAGCTCATAGAGGGTCTAGAAAATGAAGGACGAGTTTTAGTAGCCGATAACTTTTATTCTTCTCTTGATTTAGTAGAGGAACTCTTAGAAAAGAAAACATTTTACTGTGGCACGCTAAGATCAAACCGAAGAGGACTTCCCAAGCAATTTATGTCTAAAAAATTGAAAAAAGGCGAAGTTGAAGGGATAATAATGCCTAGTGGTGTGAAAGTTATTAAATGGCACGATAAGCGCCAAGTTTCAATGATAACTTCCTGTAAAGCACATAAAGCGTCTCTAGTAGATACAGGTAAGATACATAAGAGAACTAATGAAATGATCAGAAAGCCACTGTGCATTTTAACTTATAATGATAATAAAAAAGGGATAGACTACTCAGATCAAATGTCGGCATACTATACTACTTTACGACGAGGTCTAAAGTGGTATCGGAAAGTGATGATGGAATTTTTATTTGGTACTGCACTCATAAACGCATGGATAATATACAATGCAAATACAGACAAGAAAATGTCAAAAAAAGAATTCACAGAATCAATAATCGAAACATTCGGAGGCCGAAAAATTTCTGGAACAGGTATGATTAACTTACTATTGCACAAATTACTATTTTTAATATAACTCGTGTGACAACAAGCGTGTATATAAAACCTGCAGGTTTCTTGTGACATGATATCTAATGTAAAGCAGATACACTAGGCCATCCCTCTTGCCTAAGAGTGCTCAAAATACTAGACACATACTTGTGTACTTACCTACTGCGTTTTTCTCACAATTTTTGCAGAGTAGGTATCATGTTGTAGTCCATTTTTTTGAGGAAACACATCTTAATTTGTTCTAAACATAACCGTTTAGGTTCAAGGGTATGCGGATAAATCCGATGGCGAGCGTGGTGGTGTCAGAAGATTGCCGTGGTTAACATACCTAACAGTTCTTCGAAAACAAACTGTTCTTACTCATAAAGGTAGCTAAAATCTCTCCAGAAACTTAGGTAATGGTTCCAGACAACGCGTAAGCTTAGCATCGTCAACTAACTGCAGCACGCTTTGCATGAAACTGAGCATATTATGCACTTCAATCATTCAAGTTTACTGAACAAAAATCTTCTTGGATACAATACAAATAACATAAATTAAAGAGGGGAGACTTTATTTCCAACTAATATCTGCCTGCCTTTTTTTCGATATTACGTGGTTTTTATTTTTTTGTGTTTGAAACGCGTTATGTACCTACTTCTTCTGTTGATTGCCTGAAAATTTTTGGTTGTTTTTGAGATTGTCTTAGCTTAGTAGCATTTCTGGTGGGCTTTGCTACTTATCTCTAATGCTAGAGTGTTTTAATTATGTAAGCATTATACTACACAAGGGGGAGGGGGGGGGGGGGGGGGTTCACATCACTCTCTGGTAAGTTTCTGGTAGCCTAAATTTCGGTTATTAAAACCAAAAACGTGGTTATAGTAAACTTACAAGAGACCTGTGACATCCAGCTTTTATTTAATACCTCCGTATATTTTTTTAAAGCAACAACAGCCTAAGAACAAAAATATACATAAGACACTCGAATAACGAAACTAATAAAATTAGATTCCATCGCATTTACTTCACTGACATAGTTGCATGCTGTTTATTTATACAATGCACTTTATTACAGAATTACCCGAAGGAAGATGTACTGATCATGTTTTCCAACGTGGCGACAAAAAAAGACGTTGTGTGGATTGTTACGAAAAACTACGACGCACATTAAACAGTGACGCTTCTAAAAAAACTAAACGAATTGTTACCATTTGCGCGCAATGCAAGCAATCAATGTGCTTACCATGTTTTAATGAAAAACACTGCATAATTAATAAAACTTTTTCAATCGACAACTGAGATATTATTTTATAATCACTACTTACTACACATATTGAACTATCTTCCGTTGCGGTACGAGATACAATCGATATCTTTTTTTTTGTTGGTATTTGTAGTTTATTCAAATGTCATAACTGCGTGCGAACCTAGCTAAATATAAAGCAATAGGTTATCTTTCACCCACAAAAACTTCAAAATATATTTGATTGTTTTTTTGGAAGATATAAACTATTTTGAAAACTGTATCTTTAGGAGACCGATTAGGTCTCAAACGCACCAAATGGTAGGTTAGTTTGGAGATCTTTTAGGTCTCCAAAGCACCAGCTGAAAGTTTTTTGAAAGTGATGGCGCAGGGAACGTGTTAACAACACTACACCTATACAGAAAGCAACGGTCACTGAATCAATTGTAAAAGAGTGCACGAACTTGGTAGCCGTTCATGGACGTCCATTTTCACTACTAGACGATGAGGCATTTTAGAATTTGTTAAAAATGATACCGAATAATAATATTGCAATTAATACTCAGAAAATCAGAAGCAATATACAATCAATGGCGGCAAAAAATAGATATGAATTGGGAACTACATTACAGGGAAAAAATTTATGTCTAAAAGTAGATATCGCCTCTATAGCAACAAGATGTTTTTTGGGTATTAATTGTCAGTACTATGAAGATGGTCATATCATTTTAAAAAAATTGTCAGTGACAGAAATTTTCCAGCGACATACGTCAGATCATCTAAAAGATTTGCTTTTGTTTATTCTTCAAAGATTCCGTATAGATATATATATTCCGTATACAACAAAGAACAATGGCAGAAACATATTTACCCAAAACTTAAGCGTTTAAAAAATCGAGTCACAGTAAACTTAATCAATTTTTTTTCTATGATTTATCATTACACCACCATGTGTTGTATAAGTCTTATAAGAGATAAGATATTTTTGAAGATTTTATTTGACCTAAGTACGTAATGTCAGATTCTCCATCACGTATAACTGACTAGGGATGCGTGGTGGCAATATTATATTATGGAACAATTTATCGATAATCGATTCTTATAGCTTTGGCTGAAATATTTACCGAAGGTTCACTATTATGATTATGAATTTGCTTCTGCCCACGTCTTCACTCGTACGGTAGAGTGACTGAATCAACATAATTAGAAATGATTTAAAATATTTTTGACTCTCTTTAAACGATTTTAAACACACTAAAGAAATAGAATATAGTTACGTTATTTTACACTACACAGTGTAATGAGAAAAATACATTGTCATTGATAACGGCACATAAATAGACATACATCGATATTTTCAAATTGTCGATACGTCGTCGTTTAGTACATATCTCTTAATCTGTGGTTTAGATCCTGTCAAGTTCCGGACTCACCACGTTTGTTATTTTATTTTTGTTTAATTTAGTGTTAATCTCGAATAGATGTTATGCTTTAATTTTTTTTATTTCATATACTGTATAATAATGTAATAATAATGAAAATAATATTTTCGGCTATCTGACACACAACGCCATCTAGTTTCAAACAAAACATTAACAATATGTTAGTACTTAACCTCGAAACATTCAAAATCCAATATCTTTTTTCCTAGACTTCTTCCGCAAGTAATTTTGATATGAGAATGGTCAAGAATAAATTCTCAAGTGTTAAGGATTTTTTGATATTTAAACGCTAACATTTCAGTTCAAATAAAATTATGTATGGGGACCTGCCATTGTCCTTTACAGCATTACCACTGACAACGGTGCCAATATGATAAAGATGACTAAATTAATCAATGAAGCTAATTCAGCTGATACAACATCCGATACAGCAGAAGCAGGTTAAGTCTATAGGGTTAAAATGTTAATTTAAATTACGTATATTCTATTAATACGAGTCCCGTCAAGTTATACTTCTTGTTATTTCTAGTTATTAATAATAACTAAAAGAAAGTTGGACCTAATAAAAATAAATCTAAGGCAAAATCACAAACATTAACTCTGTTGTTAATGCTCTTGACAAGTGATGCTCACGTATTGTGTGCTTATTGATTTCGTTACATTTCAGGTTCAAGCTCATCTCAAACCATAAATTTATATGTTGAAGATTCGGATTCTGATTCAGAATCTCATCAGTATATGGAAATGGAAGGCAGTGAAATCGAAAGAATTACAACTCGTTTAACAGAAAATCTTGGAGCACAATTCCAGAATATGAAAGTTGGGTCACATGATGAAGCGGCACATTCCATCGGCCTTGTACGATGTGCTGCACATACCCTTCAGTTAGCATTGCTAGATGCATCAAATAATGTTAATACTCGTACACTACTTTTAGAATGTAGAGAGGTGGTACGACGTCTAAGAACTCCACAATTTGTAAGAATAATACGACAGCAAAACAAACTCATTCCAAAATTAGATTGTACCACTAGATGGCATTCTACAATTGATTTGGCTCAATCTTTAATATCTCTAAAAGAAATATGTACAACACATGAACGTTTACACCTACCATCAGCTACTTGGAGCGCTTTAGAAGATTATGTTAAATGTATGACACCTGCTAAAGTACTAACAAAGAAACTGCAAGAAGAGCAATTAACTGTTGGTGATTTTTATCTGGAGTGGATGTTATGTCAATATAAGCTTTCTAAAATGAACACTGAAATGTCTACTCACATAATTACCAAAATGAAAGAGCGAGAAAACTTATATTTGTTAGTGACACCTTTATAAACGCGATTTTTCTGGATCCCCGTGTCAATTCCATTTTGACGCCAGATCAACAAAGGCGAGCAAAAGACAATTTAACGCGATTTTTTCGATATTTTAAAGTACAACAGAAACATACTGAAAATAGTTTGGTGGAGACAAATGTTGGAAAAAACTAAAATTCTGAAGCTAGAGCTGAACTTGACGATTTTCTAAATTCAAGCTACATAAACAGACTGACTGATCTGACTCGTTTAATAAGAAGAGACGATCCATGTGGTGAATTGATTAATAACTTACAGCAGAGTTTTAATTTATTTCTTGAAGAACCATTGCTAAAATCAACAGACCTTATTTCGTCATACTGGGAAAAGTCAAAACTAAAATTTCCATTTCTGTGTAAATTATCCACAATAGTTCTTGCAACACCAATGACTCAAGTAAGCGTAGAAAGATTATTTTCATCTTTAAGGTTTATTGTTTCCAATTATAGATTTTCTATGAAAGACCAAATAATTGATGACATTTTGTTCTTCAACTCTATTTTCGACAAATAAAAATAAATTTTATTCTGAATGTTTTTTAATTATTTCTAAAACCTATTTCTAAAAGCACTCTTACTTTTCTTCTGGTATTACGAGTACATTTATAAGGTACCTTTTTAGGTACCTTATAAATGTACTCTACTCTTGTACGCTACTGCTTTCATGTTGTAAGGACAGTCACACATTGGCAATCCTGTGTTATGACCTCCTAATAGAATTGCTTTTGGCTTATCGTCTTTTGCATCTGTAACAAGTTCAGAAATATTATTAGACCGTCCGTAAAAAAAAATGAAATAGTTTTTTTTTCAAATCAATAAAAGTGAAGTGTTAAATGCATAATATTATAAATCAATAATTAATGTATGGACATTTTTTCACCGCCTTCTGCGTAAAAGTTACTATTATCCCACATCACACATCATCGGGAGAAAGGTGTCCTATGTATTTATCTAGGAAATGGTCCGTCGAAGTGCCAATTTCCTTCATAATCTGTTCAACGCTTAACGAGTGATTGAGTAACAAACATTCAAATATCTTCATAAACTTTCATATTTATAATAATGAGTAGGATTATAAACGACTTCTGGCTCCGAGTGTAGGGGAGATAGGGGAGCATTGGGTAGTCGGGACTTTCGGGCACCACCTTGTAAGTCGGGTCGTATGAAAGGTACTTAATTTTGTATACTGTGGTAGTTTAGCTTACTAACTGGCAACACCGCTCAGGCTTATGTCATCTGCCATTTTGATTAGTTGTCAGTGTCACATTGTGTCGACCGTTTCGTGCGTGCAAAAGTAAATATTTTGATGTGATTTCGAAGGAAAGAACAACGAGATCTGCGTAAAGCCGTAAGTTTCTGTATTGTCATCTAGTTATGTGTTTACGAAAGCTAATATTAACGTATAAATTAAGGTAAAACATTAGACTACAAAAAACATATTTGAATTTATTTGTGAAATGAAGGGGTGGGGAGCATTGAGCACTAATTTTAAAGGGAGGTTTGGGCATGCCCAATGCTCCCGCCACTATTGTTTGTTTCGGCAATCGCTGTAAAAAGTAAGTTCTGTTAAAAGAAAATTATTTCGACGGGTTTAAATTGCGTGTAAATATTCAATTTGAATACTAAATACTTTTGATGTTTTATTATTGTTTGTGTTACTAATTATTATATTATTTTTTCTAGAAAAATGCCGTTTGAATTTAAAAAGAAAAATAATATTACGTGCCATAGAAGAAATTACAATGGGAGCAAAAATTAAAGCGACTGCAAATAAATACGACATACCTATATCAAATCTCCAAAGATATTTAAAACAAGGCACTGTAAAAGATGTTTCTTCTAAATTCATATCTTGCCAAATATTCGCTGAAGATGAAGAAGCAAAACTGTCAGAGTACCTCATAACATCTTCTAAATTGAATTATGGACTTTCAGAAGTGCAAACGCGTCAGTTGGCTTATGACTATGCATGTGCAATAAATAAAAAAATACCAGAAAATTGGAATAAAAATAAAATAGCATCAAAAGATTGGATAAGAGGGTTTCTTAAACGACACCCACGGCTATCAGTACGGACACCGGAAGCTACCAGTCTCTCAAGAGCCACCAGCTTCAACAGAAAAAATGTTGGAGATTTCTTCGAAAATCTCAGATCCGTGTATGAGCGTTATCACTTTGGGCCAGAAGCCATTTACAATATAGACGAATTCAAAAAGTTGTCGCTTCTAAAGGAACCAAACAAGTTGGACAAGCAACTTCTGCTGAAAGAGGGATGCTTGTCACGGTTTGCTGTGGAATAAATAGGAAACTCTATACCACCTCTATACTATCTTCATATTTCCACGGGTGCACTTCAAACCATTTATGCTTCACGATGCTTCTATTGGATCAGATGGATCAGCACACACTTCAGGATGGATGACAGCAACAAACTTTTTAAAGTTTATGCACCATTTTGCAAAACACGCCAAGCCTACACCTACCTCGCTAGTTCTTCTGCTACTGGATAATCACGAAAACCATATTTCTGTGCCAGTTCTCGATTTCTGTAAAGAATCTGGTATTAGTAAGTAGGTTAAGTTTTACTAACATTTCCTCCACACTGCAGCCATAAGCTGCAACCCCTTGACTTGACTGTCTATGGGTCGTTGAAAAATTATTATAATACGGCTATAACAGACTGGTTGGTATGCAATCCAGGCAAAACGGTTTCAATTTATGAAATCCCCAAGCTCGCTGCTGTGGCTATTCCGCTTGCATTCAAGCCACAAAATATTCAAAAGGGATTCGAAAAACCTGGCATATGGCCTTTTAACTCCAACATTTTCAGAGATGAAGATTTCCTTTGTTCTTCTGTCACTGATCGCTGTTTGACCGATACAGACAACGTTACTGCAGAACAACCAACAGCAAACGAAGTCCCCGTAGACCAACCAACACCAAACCAAGTCCCCGCAGAACAGGCAACAGCAAACCAAGGCCCCGCAGAGCAACCAACACCAAACCAAGACCCTGCAAAACAAACGACACCAGGCAGAGTCCGCGCAGCACCTTTGATAAATCAAAATCAAGTGGATCTCACGAACGAAATGGCAGTTCCCGGGCCTTCACGATCTAAGACTCCGATTCAGAGCGTGACTAATGAAGCTATGGTAATAACTCCCGATTCCGTGAGACCATATCCGAAAGCTGGCCCCAGGAAACTGGTTGGCATGAAGAGAAAGACAGGAAAAACAAGAATATTAACAGACACGCCCGAGAAGAGATTAATAGAAATAGCAGAACAAGAACGACAAAAAAAGAACAAAGAAAAAGAAGACAAAAAGAATAAAAATACAGGGAAGAAAGCAATACCTAAACTTGTTAAATCTTTAACATCGAAACAGAAGAAACAAAAGAAAATAAGCAGTGACGAGGAAATAGAAAACGAATGTTTGGAGGAAGAAAATTCGTTTGATGAAGATGATGTGGTTGTATTAGATAGAAATTTTAAGGTCAAAGATTATGTGCTAGTGAAATTTGACACTAAGAAAACTGTCTATCACTATGTTGGCCAAATTGAAGAAGTTTGTCACTCGATGGCAACTATTTTTATGCGTATGAGTAAGATACGTAATACATTTATGTGTCCAGAGATTGAAGATATATCAAGTGCCATTGAAAGATCAAAACCAAATTGCCAAACCCAAAGATATGGGTCAAGCGTGGCAGCTCTAAGTATACTTTTGATAAGCCCATCTTAGATAAATTTTATTACTGAAGTAAGAATACTGAGTATTGAGTACTAAATCTTTAGTATTTTTTTGTTTTGAGTACTTATAGTTTAAAACAGTTGATTGTTTGTTGATTTTATTGCAAGTTTTTATGATTATATTATTTAATATTCAAGTAATTTACCATTAAGTGGCCTATTTAATACAGTGCCCAAACCTCCCATTGAGGTGTCCAAACCTCCCGACCATTGGGAGGTTTGGGCACTTTTGACAGTATTCAGAAAATCTCTTGCAATTTTGAGACTGATTATAATTGTATAAGTGTTCTTCGTTATAATTGAAGCCAAATATATGTGCTACTAATATAAGGAGTAAAAAGTTGATTTTGTTAAAAAATTGCATTTTTATTAAGGCTTAAGTAAAAAACTGCCCGATGCTCCCCACGAACAAATCTTATTAAAACCAGTCGAGCTGTTAAAAGTTTGCGAGTAGCAAATCAATTTGAATTCTTTGCTCATCCCATCATCATTCTTTGATGCAAAAGGAGCATACATGTAAATCCAGGGTGTGTGCTATATCCACGCCAAATTATATCAAAATTGTTCACGCCGTTTAAGCATGAAGATTTCTTGGTTATCCCACGGGAATCCTACAAGGTTTCGGGATAAAATGTAGCCTATGTATTAATCCAGGACATGGTCTATCTATGTGTCAATTCATCCAAATCTGTTCAACGGTTGTGCTGGAGGGACATGACACCCTTTCCTCCACAATCGTCACTCTCACTGTGAAAGAACGGATGTCATGTCCCTCCAACTCAAAGGGAGAATCCTCTAACTAGGCGAGGTAAACATGCCTGGCGGGCCGCGGCCCAACGGTTGATGTTGGGAAGTTGTATATATGCTAATCGGCAGAGAATTCTTCATATCGCGTTACAGGCGTAGCAATTCTCATTCAGGAGTTACTCCGTAGTTCTTTGTGTCTTCGTTAGATGGCGATGTAGAATGTTTCTGTTTCTTTGTATGTGGGAGTCGCGCTCCAGTCCGGAGGTCGATATCTTGATGATTCAGCTGTCTATGCCAGTGCCAGTGTGTTGTGGAGTATGCCAGTGCCAGTAGTTCCAGTGAGTCGGAACTGATTACTGCCAGAATGAAAGAGTAATGGCCTGTCATCAGAGCCGTGGGGGCCATTTTTTTTTACTAATCCCACCCACACGCCCACCACTGTAACTCCTGTACACCAGGATCCACAGCAGTGACCCACGAACACACCGAGTTATGACACTCGGGAAGTCCCAGGAAGAAATTAACCTGTCTTGGAGCCCGCAACGAAATTAATCAGAAGAAAATTGGAGGAGTTGGAAATACAGTAAATCCACTTCCCTCCTTAGCAAAGCGGGAGACAAAATGAAGTAAAATAGGCATACACCCTTTTAAACAGGGAAGCACCACGGCCACAAAATATTACGGGTCCTACATGAGCTATATTTGATTTCTATAATATGTATGGCAGAATCGCCTAAACGCACGGAAATTCACCCTAGTTGACACAAGATCCCCATAGTATACCGCCCCAGATGTCACCTGCAAGCTATTCAGCATTATATTACGTTCATTATACCAAAGACTACATTCCCAGAGAATATGATGAGCAGATTGTTCATAATGAGAGTTAGGTGTTGAGCATTGACACAATGGTGACTCGACTAATTTAAATGAATACAACTTGCTCTTAAAGTTACCATGACCCGTAAGAAATTGAGCGACACAGTGATCCACCTCAAGCCATGTCCTCGACAACCGTTCGCGAACAGATGGAAAAAATTGGTAAAGATGGCGCCCCTTGGATGATTCGTCCCAGCGTTGCTGCCATTCGTCTATGAGGTCATTATAGACATCGGATTGCTGTTGAAGCAATCTTGTAATTTTACCGCGATCCCGCGCGCCCAAGAAATCGCATTCCATGTTTTGTCTTGAATAGTACATGGCTGCACGTCTCTGCACCTCGAGATCGACCGGAAGGACACCTGCCAACACCGGCAAAGCCTCAGTGCTAACCGTCCTATATTCCTTGCACAAAAATATCAGTGCAAGTCGTTGGCCTTGTAACAGTTTGCGACGGACAGCGCCTACGGTCGCCCTATCCGCCCATACAGGTGCACCATAGCACATAGAACCTAAATAAGTAGCTCCGTATATGATCTTTAATGTATTAAATGATAGACCCCATGTCGCAGTTGATATCCTTGTCAATGCACAGAAACTCTTTTTAGACTTTTCATTAACTATTTTAATATGTTCGATAAATGAAAAGTTTCTTTCTAAAACTAACCCTAGATAACACACTGCGGTTTTATTTTTTACAGTAACATTGTCAAATCTAATGCTCGGCGGTGATTTGAGGTTACCTTTTAAAAGTAGCTGGAAGGTTTTGTTGGGTGCAAAAGTTAAGCGATTACGTTCACCCCATTGAGATATCAAGTTCAAACATCTATTGGCTAATCTCTCAAGCGCTAATCTCTCAAGCATGGGGGCCATGGGGGCCATTTGCCGGGTATTTTATTCCATACTTAATCGAACCATGTCTTCTTTACAATCCAATATAAATATCACAACTCTTTTATACACACACACACACTCTTACTGAGACACGCTTTACTTACTTGTAACATTATCGTTCTCTTTACTATCCTTTTGTATTTTTCTTGGATTTTAAATGGACTGTGAACAATCATTCTCCCCATTATCTGCCTGTAAAAAATATATAAAGTTAATTGAAACTACATATGTTTCAATTAACTTTGATTTCTTGCCACTATATCACTATAATTTAATAAGTAACATACACAAAATGATTGAAATAAAAATTAATAAAAGGTATTTTTACTACTTTGATTACAATTACGTACTTAATAATTAATTACAATATTTCTTCTATAAACTTAATTCTTATATTTGTCTAAATTATTTGAGAAAAATAAAATCAAATGATGTTTTTCTATTTAACCTAAAAAATATATTTTGCTAGATATTAGTTCTTTTCGAAAACAACTCTTTAAAACTTAAACGAGCGAGGAAAAGTGAACATAAAGTTATAGAACATGCTTTATTAACATGGTTTTGTGGCGACTCCCACATAAACATACTACAGCGCCATCTAATGAAGACACATCGAACTACGGAGTAACTACTAAAATAAGAATTGCTAATCCTGTATCGCGATATAAAGAATTCCCTCGCCGATTAGCATATATACAACTTCCCAACATCAACCGTTGGGCCGCGGCCCGCCAGGCATGATCACCTCGCCTGGTTGGAGGATCCTCCCTTTGTGTTGGAGGGACATGACACCCGTTCCTCCACAATAGACACACAAAACAACATAAGCATAAACGCAATTACACTATCATAAAAATAATTTCACACAACACTCGTATTCGTCCTAAGTGGGAATCGAACCCACGACGAGCCTCACAGTCGTTCATCACAGTTATCTGAACACTTAAGGTTTGGAAATAGTTATTTATTACTTCGTAACACTACACAAAAATCATAAGTGCCGTGAATGTCTTGAACATTCACGGCACTTATGATTTTTTACATTATAGTGTTGAGTGATGTGGGTCGCTCCAGAACGATCGTATAGTAAGTACGTTAAGTTAGTTGGTCCATGGCCCCCTTACAGCCTGAGCGTTCTCGGTTATTGTTGACATTCCATCTTATTTAATTAAGTAAATTTATATCGTATAAAGTGTTGTGGATAGACAATATATTCTGTGTCGCGTTGTGTATATTGTGTGTCTCTTGCTTGTACTCCTTCTGTCTTTTAAATAGTATATCGTGTTGTTGTGTGTATAAATTATAACAGTAAGTGGATATTGACTTTTATTTATATTCACCCGTTAGTACATATACTACTCCACATAACTATAGTTTAAGCATCAGAGGGCAAACAACGTCGCAAAAAGTGGTCCGATTCTGCAACAAAAAGCCAATGACTTTGCTCGTCTTATGGGTAAGGAAAATTTCAAGTGTTCGTCGTCTTGGGTACAACGTTTTCGTGCTCGTCATAATATTGTGGCAGGAAAAGTTAGCGGTGAAGCGGCTGGCGTTCCTGAAGGAGTGCCTGTCTGCTCTCTCATAAGTGGCCTGCACTGTGCGAAGGATACACTCCAGAGGAAATCTTTAACGCTGATGAAACAGGTTTGTTTTACAATTTAACCCCTGACAAAACACTTAAATTCAAAGGCGAGGAATGCAAGGGCGGAAAGTTGTCCAAAACAAGAATTACAGTATTGGTTGTGGCAAACATGACTGGTTCATGTAAAAGAAAACTTTTGGTGATAGGAAAAGCTAAAAAACCGCGTTGCTTTAAGAACATTCAATCTTTACCTGTAACTTATGAAAACAACAGTAGGTTCTGGATGACATCGCAAATTTCTGAAAAATGGCTGCGTAGCTGGGATGCAGAATTGAAGTCTGGAGGAAACAAAATTCTTCTCCTAGTAGACAACTGTCCCGCTCACCCTAAAGTCTCCAATCTGAAATGCATAAAGCTTGTGTTTTTACCTCCCAATGTCACCTCTGTTTTACAGCCCACTGACCAAGGAATGATAAAAGCTTTAAAAACACAATACAGAAAACTTCAAGTGCTCCAAATGATACAGAATATTGAAAAGAGCAAAGATACTAAAAGTCTTAATGTTTTGGATGCAATCCTAATGATATCGGAAGCTTGGGAAAAGGTCACACAGACCACTATAGCCAACAGCTTTCGCCATGCAGGTTTCAAAGATCTCTCTCCATCACAAGCGGAGGACGACGATGATATTCCGCTAGTGAGAATGATACAATCTACAGATGAAGATGACAACGTACCACTTGCTGAATTGGTTGCTTAGTTGCAAAGATTTACTGTTACAGGACAAAAAATTGAGATAGAGGAATTTATTCGAATAGATGACAGTGTCGCTGTGTGCGCCTTAGCTACTGAGGAACAAATTCTTGCAGAAGCTGAAAGTAACTATCATAACACTAACAACGAAAACGAAGACCAGCAAGACCCTGAAGAACAGTTTCAGCCAACAACAATTTCCGAGGCTCTTAACGCTATAACCGTTTTGCAAAAAATAGTTGCCTTTAATGACTTTAATACTGATGATACTCTTACCTTGAGGAGTATGAAACGTAAAATGCAAAAAATATTTGAGACTGGGCTAAAAAAAAAAACAGACTAAAATGACTGATTACTTTAAAAACTAGTGTAGTCTTATAACCCGTACTGTAAGCAGCTAAGTACATTTTGTATTCTAATTATTTCTTAATAAATATTTTTATTTCTTTTCTAACATTTCATTTGACAACATTTCACATACATAACCTATACCGATACTAGATAGATATGTACCTATAATAATATAACTACACAACTAATGTAACTGTATGTATGTGTATTGCTTATAACAACTATCGGATATGACGTCGGCAACTACACGGTCCCTTCAATGTCGCTATATCAGGTTTTGACTGTAGTCAGTATCGCAATTACAAAATATATTTTGTTATAACAGCTCTAAGATGGAATAATCCTCAGCTTAAATGTGTCACTTGGAACTATTCTGAATCAGGCCACGGTAAGGGAGCTTCAGATGGAGTTTGAGCTGTACTAAAGCGATACATGTGTGAATCATGGCGCTGATGTAGTGGACTTCGAAAGTTTTTCACGATTGTTAAAAGAAAACGTGAAAAACATCGTAATAGATACTATCTCCGACTATAAGATCTATGAAAAAGACATGCTATTACCCAACAAATTACAGCCATTTAAAGGAACACAGCAAGTTCATCAAATTGTATGGTGTGATACAAAAAGATCATCTGTCGTTTTAAGACGTCTTAGTTGTACCCAAGAAACTTGTTTCCCCAAAGCCGAATACTGTAAGCACGGTAAACACCTTGGGTTTCATGATGTTATAAGACAACAAGTCAGCACACCAAAGCCCAAACGCAATAAAACAATGAGAGCTTCAGTTGTGGCCACTCCTCGAGTTTTAGAGTCTTGTATTGAGCTCGAAGATTTAGATGACGACAGCTTTATAGCCCCTGGCACGAGCGTTATAGTAGAATTCGTAACTGCTCTTCATGGATCTACACCATTTTCGGCACTGTCTGAAATGGAATTGCCTCCGGAGCTTCAGAGGAGTACTTAGATAGGATTTTAAATGAAGGGCCCGCAAATTAGCAAATTCTTCTTTAAACACTTTTAAACAAGTTTTTGATAATGATAGTGATTCCGATTATGACATATTTTAGCAAAAGAAATTGATTTATTGTGATTGTTTCCAGAACCAAAAAGTAAATGATCCAAAGCTTAAATATTCTTTATGTTTAACGTTATTATAATTTTAATAGACTGAATGTTTAAGACTGAATAGATACGAGACAGAAATATTTAGTATGTCGACATCCAGGTGAGATTTTTTAATGTTTTCTTAGTTGTAAATTCGTTTTTCTTAATGTAACTATTATTGTTTGCAGTTAATAATAATAAAAGCTGATTTTGCATGGTTAAACTAATTTTTTTTCATTAACCTGTTTGATTCTCTTTCACCTAGAAACATTTTCTCAATAACCCGAACGATATCTCTTGAACCTGGAAAGTAGTTTTTTTGAAACGCTGTATCTTGTCTATTTATGTGAAAATTGTATTCCCTTGGAACAATTCAACATGAGAGACATACTTAGAATGGATATTTGTAAAAAAAAAACAAAAAATGTATTCGAGTAGTGCCACTTTTTTGAGAAGGACCCATTTATAAACAATTATATAGCTATGTAGAGAAAAGCAATATACTTATTAATGAACAGAAAGGATTTCGCAATAATAAAACTATCAATATGGCTGTGTATGTTTTTATGTACAAGGTAATCGTAAATGTTGATAAAAACATTCCCGTCACCACAATTTTCTGTGACATGACTCAGACTATGTCCGCTATGACATTTTGATGAAGAATTTTTAAACTTACGGTATTCGCGGTAACGTTCTCAGTCTATAAAAATCATATATAAGTGATAGGAAACAACACACAGAAATATCTACAATAAATACACACAGAAAACGAGCGTACGTGTCGTCAGATACGATGTGCCTCGGGGTAGTGCCTTGGGTCCTCTGTTATTCATTATATATATATATATATATATGACCTACCCAAAAGCACAAATCAAAATATGACACTATTTGCCGATGACAGCACCATTACGATACCATGTATAAATAAACGTATAATAGTAACATAAATAATTCTCTAAAATCAATGATACAATGGTTAGACAACAATAATTTAAGGATAAATCTAAAAAAAAAACAAAAATCATGCACTATACTCAAAGAGGATCTACTATGACCAACCTAAATGTACTAATGTACCATGGGTTGATTTCCTTCAATATTAGATATGGCGTTATCTTTTGGGGCAATTCTACTAATAAGGAACGAGTATTTAAAGCCCAGAAGCGCTGCTTATAGACTATATTCAAATTGATAGTTACTGACAGTTGTAAACCATATTTAAAAAAAAAAAAAATTAACACTGCCTTCCCTCTACATCTTAGAAACCGCAGTATTTGTAAAAACAAATCCTAATTTATTTCCACGATTGACTAACGTAGTTATCCGCAATAGACGCAACAATAGCAAACTTTGCCTACATACATCAAAAACTGCTTTAATGCATAAAAGTATATTTTGTATGGCCCCAAAAATCTATATTAAAATTCCTAGACTTTGGAAAGAACAAAACAATGAAATATTTAAAAAAAAATTAAAGTAATTCCTAGCAGATAAAGCTTATTATGAAATTGATGAGTTCCTACATGATAAAATTGATAATTGATCTACTGCGCCACTGGTATTGCTTATAATTTAAGGACTTACCAATCTAAAAAGTATTGTAGTAAATAATAATGTAAAATAATTGTATAATGAAAAATAATAATAATATAAATTAATGTATTAATGTCATGATAATGATAATATTTCAATTCATTCTGCATTGCATAAATATAAAAGAATTATAAAATTTAGGGATGATTGTACTTAATGCTCATAATATATTTGTACGCCACAATGGCTAAACATGACTGTCTTTATAATCTAATTTATTACACATCTTGCATGCCTGCGTATGTATACTCATCTTTCAACAAATAAAAATGTCTTTGTCTTTGTAGGTATACTCGGTCATTCAGGCTCAAGTCGTCGGGCTGTTCGGATCTACGTACAACTGTTGGTGAGACCTTGGAATATATCTAACTGCATTTACTGTTGTCTTTATTTACTACTGTACGGATCTATGTACGACTGTGTGTAACAACTTGGTAGACATCTTTAGTTGTATTTACTGTTGTTTTTGTAATTGACTACTACTACTTGCTTTTATAAGGGAAAACCATAACAATCTAAAGAATGACGTCAGTTCCAGTATCGTCAGGTCCAGTACCAGTATCGGTTGCTTTGGGTGTGGTTTTAGCTGCAGGTTTAGATATTGCGGGGGGCCTTTGCGTCTTTGCAGGCGGCGGTGCGGGTAGTACTGCTGCTGCTGTCCTCGGTGCTGGCGTCGGTGAGTGCTCGGAGAGAGGGGGAGTGGTAGTGGATCCTCTCGAGGCGCACTGCGGCATCGGAACGCGGAACCCCTATCCGCAGGGGGAGAATTCCTCCTGTAGCTGTGTTTCTTGGGTGTTGTTGGTTACGTTAGGGATTGGGGTTCGGCTGAGATTCTTGGATTGTAATCTCCACCGCCTTTAATATTTGCAGGTCGCTTGCAGCGACCTCTCCCATATTTCTGTTGCCTAGTTGTACTTCCGTAACACGGAAGTAGGCCTCTAGCCATCGTTGTAGTCCCTGCGACATTGCTCCTGTCTCGCGCAGGGATTGGAAGGCGCATAGATCGCCCTGAATCTGCGCTGGTTTCGCAACTCAATCTCCGAAGCTGCTTCATTTTGTTATGTATACGTTTCCATTTTGATGTAGTAGTGTGTGGTTTGTCATGCAGCGCCTAGGCGAAGGGTGTCGTTGTCGCGTAGTTAGGACAGAGTAGTACTTTCCCCGCGTCGATCACCCGTCAAGATCGCGGTCTTGGGAGTGGCGTTGCCCGCCGGTTTGTACGCTAAGTACACACCGGGCGCAAAATGTTCAGTCTCTTGATGTAGAAAATATTTTCGCTGTTGATTGTGGGGGCACCCGAACGTTGGCGAGCGGAGCAGAAGAGGTCCGAAGCGATCTTAACCGCAGCGCGTCGCCTGTTCGACGGTCATATTTATAGGATGTTCCCAACGTTCGCGCGTTGGTTGGTCTAGCGAGCAGCGAGCACCGCTCCATTTTACAATTAATTATGTACTTACCACATATTATTGTATATTCATTATTGTTTGTATGTATTGTGTATAATAGTTATTTATTTATAAAATAGGCACATTCGTTATGCACAAATAAATATACATTCAGTAAATATATATATATGTCGGAGGAAGCTAGGAGTCGGGTTGATTGTAGTTTGATTGCTGATTGTTGATTTGTTTACATTATTAGTTACCTTTTAAATTCTTTATTTAATTTAATTTGATTTGTAACATATTTTGTATATAGTTCTATAACTTAATTCCTTACTAATGTAATTAAAGTTACGAATATTGTTATCTACGGTACGACCAATCAGAGCAGAACACATGTCTCGAGCGGGGTCGAGGCGCCATCCTTACCTTAGGAGGGCCGACAGTTTTTGGGACACATTTGAGTGACAGCGACTGATCGAGTTGGATCTTAGAAAGTTTATTCGTCGGATTAAAGTAAGAAGGGTGCCCTGAACCCGCTGCTCGGTCTTAAGTGTTGATTTTTCGTGGGAAATTATTGTGTAACAAAATTATCAATTTCAATTAAAATAGTAAGAAGTTGTGATCATTGTTTTGTGCTCGCATTTTACTCTAATGACGCCCACTAAGCCCGCAACCACGAATGACGATGTCAACGAGAATAATGTTTCTCCGACATCAGAAGTAGGATCGGTGCAGGCACAAAACGCGAGCGAACAGACAATGGCAAAAGACGGATAGCGCGCGCTGTTCGATGCGCAACAAACCAGTATAAGACTACTCGTGGAGGCGCTAACAAACCCATCGAATATCGAGGATAAGAGCTTCATGTTGCCCAAATTTCAACCGGAAGATGCAGACACTGACGCCCGGGCCTGGCTGGCAACGGCGGACATCTGCTTATCGGATCGTTGCTTACAGGGAAGTAAATTAATTACCATACTTAGTAAGGCCATGAAAGGTTCGGCCGCAACGTGGTTTTCTCAGATAGCCTTTCCTAATACAAAGTGGGTGGATTTCAAGGAAATTTTTCTTTCTCGTTTTGATACGGTAGAAACATGTGCATCGACGATATTAAAGATGCTTACTGGTAAACACAAGAAGGTGAATGTCTTGCTGCATATGCAAGCCGTTTATTTACTTTACTAATATCACGTTGGAGTAATTTAAGCAAGGAAGAAATGGTGGTATCCTTATTGCTTGCACACATGGGGCAAATCGAGCCAAGGTTACAACGCAATATTTTTTCCGAAGAAATAACTACCCGCAGTAAAATGCAACGTGAACTTATGGCGTTTTCATATCGCAAGTTGAGTTATTAAGAGATTGCAAAAACCGTTGCAAGCACTACACTACGCAAGAAATAAACGCCCTAGGTTAAGCCTAGTTTCAACAAAATGTTACGCTTGTGGCAAATTTGGTCATAAATCTTCACATCATCACATCAACAGCCTTTACTAGTCCACTGCTGGGCATAGGCCTCTCCCTAGGTCATAAATCTTATTGAGTATAAAATTTTATTTATGTTCTTAGTAGATAATATAATAAGGCTATTATGGTGCATTAATAGATAAGAGAGCAGCACTTATATTATCTATGAATTTTGTCTATGAGTTACTATTTTGTACTACTCTACTAATATTATGTATCTGTGGCAGTACTAGCACTTCTTATTAAAGTAAGGAACGTTTTTGTGCAAATAGAAAATCCCAATTTCATTTATAAATCCTAAACCTTTATAGGTTATGGGCCCAGGAAATCTACTTTCGAAATTGAAGATCAGTGGAAAACAAAAACATTTCGATAAAAATACTCGGTTACGAATATTGGTTGGTCATAAACTCCAAAATGGACACGCGGTCGATGAGTGTTGAAAAATTCGAAGGAAATAATTTCCGCCAGTGGAAATTCCAAATCAAATGTGCTCTAAAAGCCAAAGGTATCAACATAGGTCTGCCAAAGCCAGATATAGACAGTTCTACATGGTTAAAAAACGATGGAATGGCAATGTACATCATAACATCTAACATGGACTTGAAGCAAATATCTTTAATATAACATTGTGAAACCGCCAGTGAAATAATGTTGAAACTCGAATCGATTTACGAACAAAAAAGTGAATTGAATAAAATGATATTACAAGAAAGGTTTTATAAATACAAAATGTCACCTAGTGATACAATTGCTCAACATATTTCGAAAATTGAAAACTTAGCCAAGCAATTGAAAGAAAGCGGCGAAATTGTGAGTGATACAGCTATCATGACAAAAATACTTGGAACTCTCCCCTCCAAGTACAGAACACTTCGCCAGGCGTGGTTGTCGTTAGATCCTTCAAAACAAAATATTATTAATCTAACTGCTCGTTTACTCGATGAGGAAGCAAGTTTTACTTGTGAGGAAGAGCAAGAAACGGCCTTGTTAGTGACTAATTCTAAAAGAAAAGGGCAACCTAAACAACAAAAAAATGAACGCAGTGGTTATGGCCCAAAACTTAACAACTATATTAAACATCGCTTTGAGTGCTACAATTGTGGACAAAGAGGACATTTCGCAAAGGAATGTCGTGCCCCAAAGAGAAATACAAGAAAGCCTGATAATATGCTGGCATTTAATATTCCAGACAAAAATATTTACACCGAAGATAACATTTGGATTCTGGATAGTGGTGCTTCAGCTCATATAACCTCTATAGGTTATAAAGACATATTCATAGAATTAGAGGAATGTAATCATAAATCATTAACCCTTGGTAATGAACACTTGGTTGAAGTATGTGGCATTGGAAAAATCATGATAGAAAGGTATGTCAATGGACAATGGCATTCAAGTATATTAAATGACGTACAAACCTCCTTTCTAAGGAGAGGCCTATGTCCAGCAGTGGACTAGTATAGGCTGTTGATGATGATTGATGATGAAATGACGTACTATATGTTCCAAGTTTAAGAAGAAATTTATTTTCTGAGGGTGTAATAATGCGTCAAGGTTATTCACTTGTGAAGAAAGGAAATAGTGCATTAATTTACTTGAACAAAGAAATGATAATGAGCGCACAAATTAAGACAAATAATTTATATGAATTGAAAATCAGAACTATAGCTCCTGTTAAATGTAACTTAGTGCATGACAGTATTGATATCAAGAAATGGCATGAAAGACTAGGGCATATAAATATTAAAGAAATTAAAAGCATGAATATAAACAATGTGATTGAAGGTTTGAAGATTAATGGTAATACTGAAGAAAAATGCACCTGTGAAGCATGTGCTTATGGTAAACAGCATCGTCTGCCATTTCAAAAATCTTCAAGAAGTGAAATACAGCCAGGTGATCTGGTGTATAGCGATGTGTGCGGACCGATGAGTCACTCATCAGTGCGAGGTATGCGCTATTTTGTATTATTCAAAGATGCCAAGACAAGCTATAGGCATGTTTATTTTATGAGGAATTAAAGTGATGTATTAGAATATTTTAAAACTTATAATGCCATGATCAAGAACAAGTACATGCACAGTGTAAAGATTTTACACACAGACAATGGAAGGGAATATGTAAACACTGCATTTAAGGAGTATCTGAAAAAAGAAGGCATTATGCATGAGTGTGCAGCACCTTACACTCCAGAACAGAATGGTTGTGCAGAGAGGGAGTTGCGAACCATAGTTGAGAGTGCTCGTTCAATGCTATATGCTAGAGATGTGCCATTATATTTGTGGGCCGAATCTGTTAATACAGCAGTGTATTTACTCAACAGGACCACAGTCAATAAAACACCTTTTGAAGCATGGACAAGTGTCAAGCCGCAGTTGAGTCATGTGCGGGTGTTTGGTAGTGTAGGATATGTACATATTCCTGATCAATCGAGAAAGAAACAAGATAAGAAAAGTGAAATGATGATATTGGTAGGATATGATGACACCAATTATAGAATGTATAATACAAAAAACAAACAAATAAAAATATCTAGAAATGTAATTTTTGATAGGGATAAGGTCTCAGAAATGAGAAGAAATATTTCAAAAATTTTCATAGAAGAAGAAGGCACAGATACTGAAGAAAACACACAAGGAAGTGAAAGAAATCGTAGTGACACTCAATCAACCGGAAACTCAGCTGAAACTCTGCACAGCTGTCAGGATGATGATGGTGATCCCACCTATGAAGTATCTCAGGAGATAGAAAAACCAGAAGAAAGATATATGAATCTAAGACCTCGACATAATAGAAATTATGAAGCAAATTTTGTGGAATTCACGGTGCCATCTACATATGATGAAGCGATGAAGGATCGTCAAAAGGATCAGTGGTCTAAAGCGGTGAGTGAAGAACTTGAAGCACATGAAGACAATGAGACCTGGACGCCTATCAAAAGAACTAATCAAAGAACTATAACAACAAAATGGGTTCTTACAATAAAGAGGGATGAAAATGGAAAGGTCACAAGATATAAAGCTCGCTTATGTGCACGTGGATTCAAACAAGTAAAAGGTGTGGATTATGAAGAAATATGTTCTCCGACTATAAGGTATGATTTCATAAGAATCATTCTTTCTCTTGCAGCTAAATACAATTATACAATCCAACAATTTGATGTCAAAACAGCTTTTCTCCATGGTAATCTTGATGAAGACATATATTTAGAGGTGCCTGAGGGAGTGTCAGTGAGTAAAGATTATATTTTAAAATTAAATAAAGCTCTTTATGGTCTTAAACAAGCGTCTAGATGAAAATTTACAAACTTTCTAAAAGAATATGGTTTTGTACAATCACAGGCAGACAACTGCATTTATATAGGAGATTTTAAAGAAGCCGAATCGCGGCGTTTATGGCCCGGGTTGGTACGTGTAGGAACGCTATAATTAAGGAACTTGCTGACAGGGTCTGTAACAGTTCCATGTTTATAAAATGGTTACAGGTAACTTCATAAATAATTGTAACCAAAGTAAAGAAATATTATAAACAACATTATATGGAAACTATTCTGAAATAAAGATTTATTATTATTATTATTATTATTTAATGGTATAAAAATCTATTTACAATTTTTTGTAGACGACTGTCTTGTGGTTTCTTCAGATAAGAATTTAATTAAGGAAATTATAATGTATTTAAAACAAACTTTTAACATTAAAGAATTAAATTTAACTTACTTTGTGGGCATGCAAATAAAAAAGGAGAATGATTACATTCTCATTCATCAGAGAAATCATATTGAGCAGATCATAGAAAAAAATAATATGAGTGATGCCAATCCTGTGAAAACCCCATCTGATGTAAATGTAGTAATCTCAAAGAATTTAGATGAAGAAATTGTAAGCTTTCCTTATAGAGAACTAATAGGTTCACTATTATTTTTATGTTCAGTGTCACGCCCAGACACTAGTTTCATAGTAAACTTACTAAGTAGATATGTAAACAGTCCTAAACAGCAACATGTAAATGCAGCTAAACGCATAATAAGGTATTTGATGGATACAAAGGATTTATGTATTAATTATAGTGAGAACGGCAGTCTTATAGGATATTCTTATTCAGATTTTGCAAATGATGTAGACACTAGAAAATCTACAACTGGATACATATTCTTGATGAATGGAGGACCAGTCACATGGTCCAGTCAAAAACAAAATACTATTGCTCTCTCTACTACTGAGGCAGAGTTAGTAGCTGCTAGTGAGTCTGCCAAATAAATAATTTGGTTAAGACATTTATTATCAGAATTAGGTGAAATGTATGATTCTGTTTTTCTACACATAGATAGTCAAAGTGCAATAAGGCTGATAAATAATCCCATCTATCACACAAGAACTAAACATATAGATGTAAAATATAATTTTATAAGAGAAAAGGTTCAGGAAGGCTTAATAAAAATTAAATATATTTCCAGTTCTAATCAATTGGCAGACATCTTAACTAAATCATTACCGGCTCAGTCATTCATATTTTTAAGAGATCATTTGTTATCTAAACATGAACATAAACAATTTCTCTGGTTAAGTAAAAGGATAGTCTGTGGGAAGTTAAAATTTTAGAGAGGGTATTGAGTATAAAATTTTATTTATGTTCTTAGTAGATATACTCATAAATAAAATTTCATGACTTTCTTGACAGACTATAAATTATAATATATAGTCTGTCAAGAAAGTCATGAAATTAATGTTTGTGGAACTAAAACTTCGGCAACAATTGGCAACACTCATTGTCTGCCAAACTAAGTAGTTCAGCTGTCAGCTTCGTTGTTTTGTTGTACAATCCAATTGTATCCAGTTACAGTTTGGAGATAAAAAATGAATCGAAATACTTATAAGAGTGGTGCGAGACAGGTTGTATTCAATGTTTTTCAAGAGTGTATGGCCGAATTTCAAGCGGGAAAATTTTGTTCCGATTTGGACGATATTTACGGTCGAACAGCAAAATTAACCGGTACGTAAGTTTATTCTTATGTTAAACACGGTATAGGAAGTGCATATCTTGTAATAATTATTTGTTTTTGTACAAATTTATCTATTTTTGAACATTGTTTTCTTTTTGTAAAGGTTATGTTATTTACCTACGAATTGTACTTCAACGCAAACATTCTTGATCCATTCTGTATTAATTATAGTTAATTATGAAAAATAATTTTTATGGTATGGTGGTTTCAGGTGTTTCCGTAAGCACAGTTCGTCGTCGTATAGTGGATGAAGGCTTCAAGAATGAAGGAAAATTAGTAACGCCTGGAAAACACAGACAAGGCCGGCCAAAAAAACAAATTGATGATTTTGATTTATGTGCGATTCGTCAAAAGGTTATTTTTTTTTTACACAGTGCAGAAAGAAGTACCTACGCTTAGGAAATTACTGGCAGTTGTGAAGGCAGACTTAAATTTTGATGGCAGCCATGAATTTCTAAGGCAAATTTTAATATCGATTGGCTTTAAATTTAAAAAATGCCAATCAAACAGACAAGCTTTAATCGAAAAACCTGCAATTGCTTCAAAACGCGAGTTATATTTGAAGCAGATCCTTGATAACCGAAGATTGCCTGAGGAGCTCCAAAAAAATATAATTTATTTAGATGAGAGCTACATACATGAGTCGTACAAGGTCACTAAATGTTGGCAATCTATGAATATTGCTGGTGTCGAGCAAAATATTGGAAAAGGTAAGAGATGGATAATTGTGCATGCCGGAAGTGACGGTTTTGTGCCTAATGCACTTCTAACATTTACGGGCAAAAATAAACAACAGGATTACCACTCTGAGATGAATGCCCAAAATTTCACTAAATGGGTAACAGAAAAATTAATCCCCAATTTGCATGAACCCTCAATTATTGTTATGGACAATGCACCATACCATTCCGTAATAACAAACAGGGTATTATAAATTTGTAATATTTCTTAATTTTTATACTTCCCTTTTTATTAAGATTTGTTAAAAATAATGAACTATTATTTGACTATATATTATGGAATGTGACTGTTATAATTTGTTTACTTCTTTGTTGTAGGCTCCTACAAGTGCTTCAACTGTAAATAAAATTAAATTGTGGTTACTGGAAAATAACATTCCATTTGATGAATCGTTACGAAAGCCATCTTTTTTAATGCTTGTAAAAAAACACAAACCTGAACCGGTGTACCATATTAATGGTCTTCTAGGAGATCATGGGCATACAGTGATAAGACTGCCACCTTACCACTGCGACCTGAATCCTATAGAACTAGTTTGGGCAATGGTAAAGACACGAATTGCGCAAAAGAATGTTGGTGGTCAGAATGTTGCGAAATTGGCTGAAGAAGCATTCCAGTCGGTAACACCACAACAATGGAAGAATTGTGTTGAGCATGTAAAAAGCATTGAAAAAGAATATTTTACCCGTGGAAGAACTCTGTACAATGAGATATTGGGACTAATCCCGCCCACACGCCCACCACTGTAACTCCCGTACACCAGGATCCACAGCAGTGACCCACGAACACACCGAGTTATGACACTCGGGAAGTCCCAGGAAGAAATTAAACTGTCTTGGAACCCGCAACGAAATTAATCAGAAGAAAATTGGAGGAGTTGGAAATACAGTAAATCCACTTCATGTACAATGAGATAGACAGACTTATTGTATCTGTATGTGATGATAGTTCCAGTGATTCTAAAGAGGTAGAAGTGGACTGAATAAATTATACGGGAGTTTCCGAGAACATTTCGGGTGTTGATTACCTTGATTCAGACTGGGATGAATAAATCAGTATAAAAAATATATATAATACTTACATGTTTTATTTTCATTTTAACACCATGTGACTGTCTGGCTTACATACATATTCATACATACATACATACATATATTCATACATACTGCCTGTGTTGGTGTATTTGTCTAGCTGAATACAAGATATCTTTAGCTACGAAAATGTAATAGCCCTTCTGTATCATCAAAATAAGGCTAAGCAGGTAGTTCTGTACTTTCTCATTCCACTGTGTTAAATTAAGTGTAAAAAGGTTTAATAAACACACTTTCAAAATAGCACTTAGAGCTATTTCAGCTCTTTTTAAAGTGATTTTGTTACCCCCCAGGAAGATATAATATAAGTGGGAGAGCACAAGCCAGGGAAGTATATTTGGTTTTTAAGAGAAAAATAAGCTTGAAATAAATAATTTTGAGCAAACGAGCACTTAACACTTAATTTTTCCTACAAAATCAAGACGTTTATAATGAATAAATATTTACAGTCATAAACCCTACGCGGGTTTATACAGGGATTCTGGCAAAATAAAATAATATATTGTTTTATAAAAAAAAGTATCTAAATCTTTTAGTCAAAGTACACAGGGATACCAGATATAACAGCAGTGGCGCCCTCCATTTTTTTCATGACTTTCTTGACAGACTATAATAAGGCTATTAAGGCTAGCGTCCACTAGGCGGATCGGGTCGGGCCGCATCGCAACGCAAAAATACGCCTGGCTATGTTTTGTATGAAATATCGTTTATTAGCGACGGATCGGAGCGCGGCGGGCGGCAACGCATTGGCGGATCGCTTCGCAGGCGTATTTCTGTCGGCGGTGCGCTGCGACCCGCCCCGATCCGTCTAGTCGACGCAGGCAGGCGGATGTGAGCGCACGTGCCGTGCTAATAAAAATAAACGAAAATGAACGAAGAACTGCTTATTTCTTTAGTGCAAAAGTATAGAGAACTGTATGATCTAGGAGACCCTAGATATCACGATGAGCAGCGGCGCATGAATATATGGCAAGAAATAGCACAGATTTTGAATGAAACACGTAAGTACCTATTCATTTAAATTATAGGTTTTCGACCCGTATGTATGTAATATTTCCAGAAATGCCCAGTTTTTGGATATGTTAGTCTATATCAGCTTCTATTATAGACCTGTGCCAAATTTCAAAAGTGTATGTATGTTTGTATGTTTGTCCACGTCTCCAAAAGTGTAAGTCCGATTTAAATAATTCTTTTTTGTTGTACTAGGTATTGTTCAACTTAGGGAATGGTGCAAACTTCATCAAAATCGGTTCAAAAGTTTTTGAGATAGGGAATGTTATTGTGCATTATTATTAGACAGGTGCAATATTTGTTCTCACATATTTCCGATACTTACTAGTCCGATTTAAGTAATTCTTTTTTTTTGTTAAACTAGGTATTATTCAACTGAGTGAAAACTGTAAGTTTCATCAAAATCGTTTTATTAATTATCATACAGAGAGTTAAGTGTACTTAAATTAGTCTTTCACATGAAAAAATGGTGAAATAAAAATGTTTAAATAAAAAAACATAAACAGACTTCACTGGAGTCGGAGCACCTCAAAGCACCTCCAAGCGAAGACTTCATTGAAGTCGGTTTATGTTTTTATTCAAACATTTTTAAAATATTATAAGTATATCAAACTTTACGCAATAATAAGTAACTTATTATAAATTTATAATTATATTTATTCTTCTTGCGCTTGCATATCTGGGTCTAGGTCTATGTGGCGATATCCTCTGTTCACAACTGTCATTTGCCATGGACATGAGCCTGCACGAGATACGAAATAACTTTTGAATTTGTTTCGAATTGCGAGAGCGACTTGAGATGAATTACCTCCAATAATTGGTAAAGGACAATGGGCATTGCGGCCCATGAGCGGCCATCAATGAAACTAGTGTCATTAGAAAGGGGAGATCTTTGACAACAAATATTGTTCAAGGAGTACTATGAAATACCGTTTTGGGAAAAAAAATATATAGTTAAAATACTATTTTTTTACATTATTATTTATGTATCCTAATATTCAATACTTTTTCTATTAGAGGTCTAAGAACCTTTGTTAAAATCGGTCTCGCCATGTTTCATGCGTCAACCAATCAGCGACGAGCGCCGCTCGCACTCGGCGACTCGGCGATTACCGTTATGCTCAAGCGCACAGCGCAGTCCATCGTTGACATTTGTTTCGTTGAGTACTTTGCGATTATTATTGTTTGACAATCTCTTTCGACTCTGGCTTGCATATCGGACTTGTTAGTATCTATCTTGGTGATTTGTGCTCGTTTTTTTGGACTTTTTTTAAGCAGATTCCTATAACAATGGCAGATAATCGCCAAGTGTGTATTTTATGTAATCGATCCGTGATAAACAGAAGAAGATACGAAATAACCCGTACTCGGTTTGAAGAATATCCCGCTGTAGGCCAATATATCTTTGAAGCTGTGACCTCTGAACATCAGGTAAGTACATTAAACGAAATCATTATTTCTTAGTTGTCACGTCAACAATATAGTTCTGTTTAACTTGAGGTGGTCACAGTGTTTTAACTCTCGCGCATTGAGATTACATTTCTCTGTAAGTAGTAAGTAAACTGTAACCGACGCGGCGACGTTGTCGTTCCGTTTGATCCACGGGGCGAGAACGGGATAGAAGTATCGGTATTTACGTATGAGTAAGCGAGATAATTAATACTGCTTAGGCAATCGAGTAAAATATTTTTCTTTATATTTCGCTTTGTTTGAACAGCGTTCAATGAAAATAACTAAGCGTTTTGACTAATTGTAATACTCTCATTTTCAGATACAATACAATGGCCAGGAGTAAATTTGTCGACCATGCTGGCAACGGGCAGACAGAGCTGCGCAGCCCAGAGAAGACCGTCCACACGAATGTGTATTACATATTGAAGAATATTCAAGACTCCCTAATACAGCAACGCGTTGTACCTATGTATGAAAACTGCAGACGAACGGATCTCCGAAGGATTCTGGATAACATTAAAGTGTCATTCTTGATTCATTTTAATTTTTATATTCCAAATAGTGCAAGAGTTTGCGATCATCATTTGGTATCCAATGATTGGGATCAAATAATTGACAGCCCTAACTTGCTCCACGACTTCAATGCCACACATTTTGTGCATATCATGAGCCTCATGAAAATCGCGGTGCTTCGAGGATCTATACTAGATTTTGATAATATAGATGACATGGACCCAAATGAAGTATACATCCGATTAGGCGTTAGTCGAGACCAATTTATGAATATTTTGGAACAAACTCCTTCATTGTCGAACGTATCAACACGCCCGAAAACATCTTTGGCATGCTACTTAATGAAACTGCGAAGCGGTGAAGCAAATGAAAGGCTGGCGACGCTTTTTAATATGAGCCGTAGAACCCTAGAACGACATTTAACGTTCGCCAGAGACTCTCTTTTACTGGACTTCGTTCCCCGGCATCTTGGTTATGATCATCTCAATAGAATTGATGTAGCTAACCGAAACCTACAAGTTCCAAATGCAATTTTTGGAAATGCAAATGCCTTAAACAGAAAGGCAATTGTGATAGCAGACGCCACTTATATATATACAAAAGTCCGCAAACTACTTATTCCAAAAGTGATCATACAGTCTACACAAATACACGAATTTGTTGAAACCGTTTTTAATAGTGTGCTGCGATGGCCACATTTTAGATGCCTTTGGGCCATATTCAGCCATAGAATCAGATGCACAAATAATGAAAAATATGATTGACGACGAAGGAAATCCTTTCCATTGGTTTTTTGAACATGGAGATGTGTTCATCTTAGACCGTGGGTTTCGCGACGTAATCGACGACTTACATGCCTATGGTTATGAAGCTCACTTACCGAAAACAAAAAATCGAGACGAAGATCAATTGACGACAGAACAAGCGAATAAGTCTAGGTTGGTTACTATGTGCCGCTGGGTTGTTGAAGTTATAAATGGTTGGTTCAAACGCGATTTTAAACTATTCCGACAAGACTTTTTCAATCGTGCTTTGCCTCATATGATGACAGATTTTAGAATAGGTGCTGCATTATTGAATGCTTGCAGAGAACCATTGTCAGATAGCGTTCACGCTGAAACATTTATAGAGGTTATAAACCAAAGAATGAACCAACCAAATAACCTAGCAGAGTATGTCCTAGCCAACAACCTTAATCGTAGACGGGCTAGTTTCGATAGCATTACAGGAAACCAACCTAACATAAGTGATTTTCCTTTGCTGACTGAGGAGGATTTAACCATTTTTGCACTTGGTACATACCAAGTGAAGCTAGCCCGCAGCTATTATGCGGAGCATGTGCGACAAGGTCTCTATAATATAGAAACGTATAGGGATCCCGATGTTACAGTCCTAGGCAGATACGGCATCACAGCAACAAATGTTTGGCTGCTAAGATGTCGAATACAATCTAGACATACTAGGTCAAAAATATATTATTCGTACATTATAGTAGATAGAGAGAAAAGCGGCAGAGAAGCCATAGAAAACTACTATTGCAGTTGTCTAAGCGGTAAACGCACTCTTGGTTGCTGTGCCCACATTATGTGTGTAGTGTGGTATTTAGGGTAGGCGAGAAACCAAGAGGAAGAGATCCGTTTACCAGCTCATTTTTTAAACGATGTTATTGTAGACGACAATTGAATCCCATCATTTTCTTTTTTTATAGGAATACTAGCATTATATACGAGCATTGTATATGTGTCTGTCAATAAATCGATGTATTTAATAACCAATAAAACCTTTAGTTTTATTTAATCCATCATTATCTTATACTTAGATATGCATTACGTTTTATCATTTACGTACTTTCGGTTTAATTAATTCGATTTTTTTAAATGATCAACGCTTTATAACTTTTTATCTAAACAAGTTGCCGAAAAATTTTTTGCAGTCTTAATATATACATAATTGTCGACTAAAAAATATATAGGACAGATGTGGCCGCCGATGGGACAAGCGCCATACATTTTTGCCCATTGTCCTTTACTAGTCCCTCGTTCACAGTTTCTCTTAGATCATCTTGTGACCAATACGATGGGCTATTTGTCAAAAAGTTATGTAAACAGCATGTTGCCGCTACAACAATGTTGACATGTTCAGGAGTCATAGATAACCGCCTTTCATAAATTCTAAACCTTCTAGCTAATATACCAAAAGCATTTTAGCTGGTTCGGCGGGCCCTACTTGATTTCCAGGATACGGTCTCATTAAATGTTTCTGTAGCGGAAAGGATGCGTCTCCCACTATAACATGAGGCATAATTGCCTCGGTACCCGGCAGTGCCTTGTCATCAGGTATATTTAATTTGTTTTGTGCCAATGATTTTCCCACGACAGAATTGGCAAATAAACAGCCATCAGAATTCTTTCCAAGGCCACCTATATCGAGTAGTGTAAATCTGTAGTCAGCATCCACTAAGGCCAATAAAACAATTTATTAAGCCACTATTTGCGGGGCATTCGATAACAACATGCTTGCCATCCAGCGCTTCAATACAATTAGGAAAATTCCATTTTTCTTAATATTTCTTGCTATCTGTTTCCAATCCTCTTCGGAAGGTGTAGGTACTTTCATATTGTTCCATATCGCCGTGCAAGTCTCATAAACGATATATCTTACTGTTTTTTCTCCGAGTCGATAATCAAAAGCCAGCGACCTGAATGAATTCCCCGTGGCCAAAAACCTAAAACAAAAGCACATTTTATTAACCGACTTCCATAAAAAGAGGAGGTTCTCAATTCAATCCTATTTTTTTCTTGTGTGAATGTAACGCGATTTCTCCGCCAATAATGAAGTTGGAGCACCTCACTTCATCCATTGCCATAAGCGTAGAGTTCATTGAAGTCATTTCTATGTTTGTTGACTGATATTCTTTTTATTTTGTTCCAGCGGCAAATTGTAAAGAGAGATGGAAGAGAATTCGCGATAATTATCGACGCGCCAAAAAACTACGTGTAACGAAGAGTGGCCAGGCAGCCACTAACATAGAACCAATTCGATTTGAAAAAGAACTGAGCTTTCTCTCTCCCTTTATATGTAATGACATACAACAAAATTCAACAAATTTGCCATCTTTGAGTGATGATGAACAAGTCCTGTCACCACGGTCAGCAACAGATTCACAAGCCATGTCACCACTATCATCAAACTCATCATCAGTCATGTCACCACCACCTATAAGTAGATCCCAAGTCAGTAAAACTGATTTGAGTAGGATCACCAAAAAGAAGAAGACAGACAGAATCTCTCAGTCGCCTCCACCGACACAAACTCTGTTCCAATCATACTTAGAAAAAAAGTATCAATCGCTTAACCAATGCCATGATACTATGGTAGATTTTTTCACAAACTTGGGGAAAACAGTCACAACATTCCCGAAAGATGTTCAGATACGGGTTAAGGGTGCGGTGTTTAAAATTGTGAACGATGCTGAGGCTGATTTGTTTTGCAGACAAGTTGATACAAATAATATATCGCATGCGAGTAGAGAGTCCCAAAATATGCAAACCATAAATCAACATAATTGTTACTGCGGAATGTTAATGTTAACTTTATTGGGAATTACTAATAAATATGATTAATCATGACTCAATTTTTTTATTGTCATATAAATAAAGTGGTTTATGTATTCATACAGGTAATAAACTATCTGAGTGCCAAATTTCATCCAAATCTGTTCAGCCTTTTTGCGTGATCGAGTAACACACCCATCCATCCAAACTTTTGTATTTATAATACTAGTTATAAAGACTACCGCCAAGCAATAGTGGTTTACCCATGCCCCTGTTCGGGTATAGGACAGATTCTTAGATTGGCGGTAAAGCACGATCTCATTGTGTAAACAATAATTAATTATAATAAAATTATTATCAGATGTCAAAAAATCATAATTACATGAGACAAATAGCAAGTCGTTCTTCTGGTTCAATCGGCCTTCGAAATTTTGTGGTTTGTTTCTGTAAATCTTCACGTAATATATTAAGCAATGTTTCAAATTTTCCAAAACACATTCGAAAATACTCGATGAATTTGACTGGATCTTTCTTCAAATCGTGAAACAAATGATGGTATTCACCAAATACATTTCTTTTCTGGCATATATCATGCACCCACACCTTGTGTACTCGTCGTCGTTTTTTATTTTTTTGCTCTTCCTCAAGAAGGATTTGAAACCATAACATCTCTTCGTCGGAGCTGTCCATGGTAGCGCGATGTCAGTCCAAGCACGAAAACACGTCTGTAAGATCAAATCCGCTTAGGCGGTCCGCCGCGTCCCGTACAGATGGCCGCAAGAGCATCACAGAACCGCGGCCCGTTCCAATGCGACCCGCCCCGATCCGTCCCTAAAGGACGCCAGCCTTTATGGCGCATTAATAGATAAGAGAGCAGCACTTATATTATATATGAATTTTGTCTATGAGTTACTACTTGTTACTTACTTGTTACTCTGTGGAGTTACTCTGTAATATTATGTATCTGTGGCAGTACTGGCACTTCTTATTAAAGTAAGGAACGTTTTTGTGCAAATAGAAAATCTTAATTTCATTTATAAATCCTAAACCTTAATAAATCTTTTGAATGTTTTAGTCGATCGCATGACAAGCAGCAAACAATTCCGATCTCTGAGCGCCCCAACACCGTCGTTACACGGGCGGCCGCTTTGACTTGTTAAAAGTATGGTGTTGAGGGTCATGTGGCTCGCGGTGTTCAAAAACATGGCCAGTTGCAAGCAGCAGCGCACAGTCCACCGCCGTACCCAGCGTTGTGAAACGAGTGGACGTGTGAGGTAAGAAACCTGTCACCGGGCTAATTACGGAATTTGGTGAGCAGTTTCCATTTTTTTTTTATTTCGGCGCTGATTGTTCCTTAATTAAAGAGAGCGTCTCTCGTAAGCTTGTTGGCAGCATTAAAATTGCAGCATTCAATTGTTACTTTGACTGGCGTAGGGAAATCTAGTCTATTATGTGACTAACAAATTTTATCTAGGGTCACTCTTAGTGGTCACGACGTACAAATTTTATTTCACATTATACCTGATGATTACTTAACACGTTCAATGCCAACTACACGGCGCCGTGAAGATGTATATGGCCGAGCACACGGCGCCGTGGAGGAACGGGGGGCCAGACACACGGCGCCCTGGTTTGCGACTGTGTTTTTTCTATGCATCAGTACCGCTCCGGCCGTTGCAATAACCGTACGTGACGCGCGTGGCCATAAACTCAAAGAAGCGATCTTATAATATCAAGTGTTGGATTAGGGTTCGCGCGATCCATTTATTAAATACAGACATTTGAAAAATACACTTTTCTACACTAAAATGACTGGCAAGCCAGGACCTTCTAAACGCCGCGTTAGCGTATTAACTTCGGGTTCCCGGGCTAAAAAAAGCCGAAGTGTTAGTGCCGATAGTAGTTTGGATGATTTTGAGTGTTCAAGCGAGGAAGCTGTATTCTCTCAATATTGTGATGAAGAGGATGAGAGTGATGAAGAGGAGGTTAGCGACGACAGTTTAGATAGTATTTTTGGTACTAGGTGTCGTGTCATACACAAACGTATGGACAGATTTCAGGCACCAGTCGGGGATTGCGGAAGTCACCTCAGTTCCTACGATCCCCGGCGTAGGTGAGAGACGGAACACCGGGGGGTTTTAGTCAGTAGGAGTCTGACAGACCCCTCCTCAAACTTCCCTTCGCGGCACTGTGCGACTAACGTGTGACTTCATATGCTAACAATTTAAATATTGTTTTCTGTGTTTTTCTGCGACTAGTTCCCGGTTTGCGGGCGGCTAAAGGTTGTGTATAGTGTTTTAAAGAAAATCAGTAAGTTTTTATTGTTTTTTAAACAGAAATATAGTGCTGAATTATTTTATTACGACTATTGGTAAGTAAATTTATTTTCTTTCTAAAAGTGGGTAGGAGGTATCCTTCGTTTATATTGATATTTTTTTGCGTGTTGTTTATTTTTAAACTTGTTCTTTTTGAAATTGTTGTTTGGTGTGTCTTTGTTTGGCTATGTCGGTCGTTAGCGAGTTACCGGATCCCGGCGGTACAAGTGAATTTCTAACACCAACCGGGAAAAGGACATTTAACGAAATGTCACCTACGGATTTCTCGCCGAAAGACAATAGAAGTAAACGAATTATTAATTCGGATTTAAGTGGAAATGTTTCGTCTCTTAACGGTCATGATAACTGTGGGGAATACAATTACTGCGAGTTAGTCTCACAGGCTACCGAGTACTTGGCAAAAATTAATGAATTAGTTAATGATCAGGGATCTCGGATGAATGTAGGTAATAAAACGGCAATTATGGATATAACTCAACGAATTACCGGTATCGTATCTTTGTTAGCAATAAAATCCTCTAGCAACGAAACGAAGTTAGCGAATTTTGAGCGACAAATGGAGGGTATCGCAACTCAACAAACGAGTTTAACGTACGCGGATAAACTTAAGCTTCGATTACCACCTAAATCTGCTCCGTGCCCGGTACCTACTGAAGCGCGCGTTCCTAGGCCTTGTGTTATTGCCTATCCCACTACGGAACGCTTAGCGGACTATGCGACCTCGTCAGCAACGAAACAAGCTCTCATGAAGGCTATTAAACCGAGCGATGAGGGATTTCAAATTGTAGGCGTTAAAAAAACCTCTAAGGCAGGCGTCGTGTTACGTGTAGCTAACGAACGGCAGCTTAAGAAACTGGAATCTGTGGACGCCATTAAATCAGTAGGGTTGCGCTTAGAAAAACCGAAAGGCCGTAGGCCCCGTATAATTGTAAAAGACGTACCCGGTTCTATGGAAGATCGTGCCTTCCTAACAGCCTTATACCGTCAGAATATCAAGGACGAATTAAAATTAAGTGAGAACGATTTTATTAAGTCAACCAAAATTGTTAGGCATCGTAAACTAGAAAATGGGCGTCAATGGATAGGCTTAGAATTAGAGGCAGCAGTTCGGAAACATTTAGCCAACACAAAAGATAAAGTTTATATAGACTGGGCCACATGTAGATTCATAGACGATATAGAAGTAGTTCGTTGCTTAAATTGTCAGCAATTCGGTCATGTACAAAAGTTTTGCACCATTAAAACCCCTACTTGTGCTAATTGCGCCGCCGCACACGAAACGCGAGCTTGTCCAGATAAAGACACACCAGATTTTAAGCCCACGTGCGCACAGTGTAAGCGGTTCAAAAAACCATCTGACCATCGATGCGGCTCATACGACTGTGCCACATACAAATTAAAACTGGAACAGCTAATATTAAATACCAATTACTGAATAGTTTAACTTAGTTTAAAAAAAAAAAAAAAAAAAAAAAAAAAAAAAGTTTAAAGAGTAACTTACTAGTAATGAATAATATTTCGATAGGCCAGTTAAATCTTCATAACGATAAAATAGCTACATTAGAATTAGACCGTTTAATTTTAGAACAAAAGTTAGACATTGTCCTTTTACAAGAACAATATCAGAGCGCTCGCTTGCGTCGTAATGTAGTACAGCTTGACTGCCGTTCGCAGGCTGGGATATATGTTGCAAGTTCTAATTTTACGGTAACATCTTTGCGTAATCTTATGACGTCACACTGCGCCGTTGCTGAGATCTCATCCTCTACCTGTAAGGTTTACGTAGTGAGCTGCTATTTTCAATATTCACATCCTATTGATCCTCACTTACATCACTTACGTTACGTCTTGCAGTTCCTCGTGGGACATAAAATTATCATTGGCGCTGATGTCAATGCGTCATCTTCATTATGGTATGGCAAGTTGCGTTCAACCGACACGGTTCGACGTTGTGCGGTTGAAGATTTCATTGCGGAAATGAATCTTATTATTCACAATACCCCCGATGCACCACCAACTTTTTGCAACCCAATGGGTGAGTCTTCTATTGACGTGACGCTTACGCGCGGCGACGTCTCGATATCCGGATGGCGTGTCCTTCCGGACGCATCCTGTAGTGATCACCGCTTGATCGTGTACGAATTCATACCAAGGGTTGCACAGGATCCACAAAGGGCTCCCTATAATTTCAGATATAAAACTAAAGGTGCGAACTGGGCTTTGTTTGGTTCACTCTTTGCAACTCATACCAAAGACTTCAGTCGCAGTAGTTTATCAGCTGAGGAAAGCGCAGAAATACTATCAGAAACTTTTACATACTGCGCTGATGTAACTATTGGTCGCGGATCTATCACTAACACTCGTAGATGTGATTGGTGGAATGATAGATTAGCCGAACTACGTAGAAGCTACCGGAAAGCTCGTAGAAAATTAAACACTATTAAAAAACATAACGTAACAGGGGATTTGTACAACAATGCTCTCATTGCTCTTAGAGTTGCCAGGTCCCACTACAGAGCTGCTGTGGAAAAATCCAAGGGAAACTTAATTCAGAAACTTGTTGATAAACTCGATAGAGAGGGCCCGTGGTCACCTTTGTATCACGAATTTAAGGCAAATAGATCAATCGACCTTGCATACATACAGAACATCAAAATTAATAACAGATATACCACAGGAGTAGAACAAACAGCGGAATATCTTTTAGACTCACTCGTACCTGACGATCGGCCGGAGAACGACACTGATCATCACCGACAGATCAGGCAGTGGGCCATCGAACCACCACTGTCTCCAATGTCTGATTTACCATCTTCAGACGAATTTCTCGGTATCGTTAGATCCTTGCCGCTAAACAAGGCTTCGGGCGATGATAAAATATCTAACAAAATGATAAAAGAAGCTTGTAAACTTTCGGGTGACACGATTTTCACTGTCTTTAAACGTTGCATTGCTGAAGGAATATTTCCTCGTATATGGCGTTGCGGTAATATTCGTATAATACCAAAAAGTGGCGACAAACCACCGGATGATCCTAAATCCTACCGACCAATAACATTGTTACCATCGTTAGGAAAGCTGTTAGAACGTCTTGTAGTGCCCCGGCTTCTGCCTGGTGGAGTCAAATTTCATGATAGACAATTTGGATTTACGTTGGGTAAATCGACAACTGACGCTGCTATATCGGTTAGAAAGTTTGTCACAGGGTCAAAATTTCAATACGTGCTGGCTATTTTCTTAGATATATCTGGCGCCTTCGACAACGCATGGTGGCCCATGCTGTTGCTGAAATTAAAATCAAGGGGGTGCTTTAAAAATATTTATTCCCTTATCTCTTCGTACTTTTCACAAGGTACAACTAAACTAAGACTTGGTCATCATTCTGTGTCGAAGGCGCTTACAATGGGATGTCCTCAGGGATCGGTGCTAGGTCCATACTTGTGGAATATCGGCTTCGACGATTTTCTTGCGATACCAATACCATCCGGATGTACTCTGAACGCGTATGCTGATGACGGCTTATTACTGGTGGAATCTGATACTAGGGCGGGGCTTGAGAGATTAGCCAATAGATGTTTGAACTTGATATCTCAATGGGGTGAACGTAATCGCTTAACTTTTGCACCCAACAAAACCTTCCAGCTACTTTTAAAAGGTAACCTCAAATCACCGCCGAGCATTAGATTTGACAATGTTACTGTAAAAAATAAAACCGCAGTGTGTTATCTAGGGTTAGTTTTAGAAAGAAACTTTTCATTTATCGAACATATTAAAATAGTTAATGAAAAGTCTAAAAAGAGTTTCTGTGCATTGACAAGGATATCAACTGCGACATGGGGTCTATCATTTAATACATTAAAGATCATATACGGAGCTACTTATTTAGGTTCTATGTGCTATGGTGCACCTGTATGGGCCGATAGGGCGACCGTAGGCGCTGTCCGTCGCAAACTGTTACAAGGCCAACGACTTGCACTGATATTTTTGTGCAAGGCATATAGGACGGTTAGCACTGAGGCTTTGCCGGTGTTGGCAGGTGTCCTTCCGGTCGATCTCGAGGTGCAGAGACGTGCAGCCATGTACTATTCAAGACAAAACATGGAATGCGATTTCTTGGGCGCGCGGGATCGCGGTAAAATTACAAGATTGCTTCAACAGCAGTCCGATGTCTATAATGACCTCATAGACGAATGGCAGCAACGCTGGGACGAATCATCCAAGGGGCGCCATCTTTACCAATTTTTTCCATCTGTTCGCGAACGGTTGTCAAGGACATGGCTTGAGGTAGATCACTGTGTCGCTCAATTTCTTACGGGTCATGGTAACTTTAAGAGCAAGTTGTATTCATTTAAATTAGTCGAGTCACCATTGTGTCAATGCTCAACACCTAACTCTCATTATGAACAATCTGCTCATCATATCCTCTGGGAATGTAGTCTTTGGTATAATGAACGTAATATAATGCTGAATAGCTTGCAGGTGACATCTGGGGCGGTATACTATGGGGATCTTGTGTCAACTAGGGTGAATTTCCGTGCGTTTAGGCGATTCTGCCATACATATTATAGAGATCAAATATAGCTCATGTAGGACCCGTAATATTTTTGTGGCCGTGGTGCTTCCCTGTTTAAAAGGGTGTATGCCTATTTTACTTCATTTTGTCTCCCGCTTTGCTAAGGAGGGAAGTGGATTTACTGTATTTCCAACTCCTCCAATTTTCTTCTGATTAATTTCGTTGCGGGTTCCAAGACAGTTTAATTTCTTCCTGGGACTTCCCGAGTGTCATAACTCGGTGTGTTCGTGGGTCACTGCTGTGGATCCTGGTGTACAGGAGTTACAGTGGTGGGCGTGTGGGTGGGATTAGTCCCAAAAAAAAAAAAAAAAAGACCCCTCCGCCCTTTCCCCTGGGCGGAGGACATCCATGAGGATCTCCCCCCGTTAACAAAAAAAAAAAAAAAGGGTTAGCAAACTTGTACATTAATTTTATTTTATTTTATAAATTTATTTATTCTATAATTATTTTTTTTTCCATATAAACATTTTACTACAACGTATAAAATTTACATATATTAACAATATTAACTAACTTACTTACTAAACTTAATTACTTAAAAGTACACTAATTATAAAGATAGAAAGAAAATAAATAATCTATTGTTTTCTTGTATATTCTTTACATTTTGATTGGATTGGTAGCTTTTTGCACTTAGTGCGTTGTGTGTGTTTAACCATATTAACAGTGATTTAACTTCAAACGTATTTATTTTGCACACACAGTTTTTTTATGTTGGCTTTGTCTTGCATGAAATAGTACTAACAACTATGGTGAAGCTCGTGGGCGTGCTAGTAGTGGTCGTGGTGGCCGTGGTGGACGTGGTGGCCGTGGTGGTCGTGGTGTGCGTGGCATGCGATCACGTGGCAGCATGGCAACCTGTAGCGCCATACGAACGCGAGGTGGGCAACGTGGTGGCGGTCGTCTCCTTGACAGGCCTTCGACTTCGGAACCGTAATAACCTCATAATACTAACTTACTTAACCTTATTATTTAGTTATTAGTTTATATTATTTATTTTAATTTTTTTAGTGCTTTATTTCTTTTAATAATGTCAATATATATTTCAGAGTATTCTGTGATATAATAAAAAACCTGCCAGAGGGCCAGCCCTTAGAGATACCAATCCATCCTAAAAAGATAAGGGTCCTCCCTGCCATGGTGGCCAGAAACCCAGAGTGAGCATACTTGATTGTTTTGAATATTTATGTTCATAACAGCAAAACAATTATCTGTGGTTGTTTATTGCTTTCAGATCAGAAATTTTATGGTCGTCCTTCGAGACGATTGCTCCATCCACCTCTCGTGGACATGAGACCCCACCGCCCATGCCAATGGAGGCCAATTCGACGGTAGATTCGGTCTCAAATATAACGAATACGGCGCCATCACCTGCCATGTAAATATTTAACCTATTTCGTTAAATAAATAAATAAATTAAGAAAATTTAGTAGCTTAATTATCAAAATTTTATTTATGCATCATCGCGTAATTGGCAATCAAAGAAAGTTCATCTCGGTATACCTACTCTATAAAAGAATTACAAGCGTTGATTAAAAATATCTTTTTTATTTTTAGAGTTCTTCCGGCCAGTGTCAGACCTCTCGACGATACTGAAATAGCCAATATGCTAAATAATGGTAAGGCATTTTAACAACAACTATTTTTCAACAATCGCGGAAGTAAGGTACTTATTAAAATCGAATCCAAAACTTGTCCATTTTTGCCTTTTAGGCAGCGAAGATGAGTCTGGCGAAGAGGAAGAAGGCAGTACCCCAATGTTAGGGGTGCCCCGGGTGGCGCGGATGTATTTGGAAGAAGATGATGAGGAGATCCAAGAAGGTTATGTTCACGTAACCTTAAACTGGCCTCCTCTCCCATCTGAACTACGTACATCTGCATCAATGCCCGGGTTACCAACGCCCGCCACACCGACGCCCACCTCACTGACGCCCACCTCACTGACGCCCACCTCACTGACGCCCACACCGATGGTCACTTCACCCGTGCCTGCTTCGCTATCCATGACTCCCATGGAGCCGAGCGATAAATTTAAGTTTAATTGGAGAGCGATAACAATGCCTCAAATTGAACCTCATTTGAGACGAGAACCGTTCTCGCAAATTAATAGCGGTCCTAAGGTTTCTTTCGCGAATCCGTATGAAGCTTTTACAGCCATATGGGATCGCGAAATTATTGAACTGATTGTCAGGGAAACCAACATTTACGCACAGCAGTTGGCAGCATCCATGCTCGTCAATAACTCAATAAAGCCCAAAAGCCGGATTACACGTTGGCAAGATACAAATGTAACTGAAATTTACACATATCTTGCCATTGTTATGGCTATGGGCTTGGTCGTGAAAAGCCGACTAGAGGAGTACTGGAATGTGGCTCAAGATATTTTCATCACACCGGGTTTCGCCATGGAGATGACATCCGATCGCTTCCAGCTGCTGTCAAAATGCCTCCACTTCCGCAACAATAATGATTGCGACCCTGCATTGCTGACACGACCCGAGGCTAAAATTTACAAGATAAAACCAATATTAGACCACCTCAACCATAAATTTTCGTCGCTATATAATGTGTCAAAAAATATAGCTCTCGACGAGAGTCTAACCATGTGGAAGGGCTGGCTTGACATCAACCAGTTCATCCGTAACAATGCAGCGACAGTTGGGATCAAAACATATGAGATTTGTGAATCCCAGACGGGATATTTGTGGCGTTTTGAAGTGCACGCTGGTCATGATGACTCGGCACTTCAAGATGATGATCCAATATCTGGTATAGTACCATCTCTCGTGCTCGGACTTTTAAATGGTCTCGAGCATAAAGGGCACACAATATGGATGGATAATTTTTACAACTCACCAGCGCTAGCCCGAGAGCTCAAGGTGCTAGGGTTTGACTGTGTGGGCACCTTGCGTACAAACCGCCAATTTGTGCCCTGTGAATTGGCGACCATCACGAAAAGAGACATGACTGTCGGTCAAGTGTTGGGCTGCACCTCAGGAGATGTGGATCTTATGGTATGGAGAGATAAAAACCGAGTAGCTTTTATCTCTACATACCATGGTCTCGCAGTTACCAGGTGTGGCGATACATTAAAGCCGACAGTCGTGCAAGATTATAATGTATGCATGGGCGGAGTAGACCGAAAGGATCAGCAATTGGCTATGTACCCTATTGAAAGAAGGCGCACAAGAGTTTGGTACAAAAAATTTTTTAGAAGGCTCTTGAACGCTAGTATCCTTAACGCACACATACTACTCAACAATCAGTTATTAACACATCGGCAATTTCGGAAGTCGTTAATAACTGATTTGTTGAGAGCACACCGACCACCTACACCCACGCCAACATTGACACCAATCATACATAGCCCAGCCCAATAGGACCTTATCAAGGCCAGAAAGCCGGACCGTCTTAAGCGGAAATGCGCCGTCTGCCACAAGCGTACACTAAACTATTGCAAAGCATGCAAAGTGCCTATGTGTGTTTTCACCTGCTATGAGCCGTACCACACTTCACACTGACACTTTACGAATCATATATATACACACATTCACATACACACACACATATACACACTCACACACACAGGATATTTCGGCACTGGTGTTCAAGATACTTCTAAAAAATTTAAAATGCTAACTTATTTCTTGTACTTCTATACCATTTATTTTATATTGAATTTTTGCGTCCCCAAACAATATGTCAATATTTTATGGAAATAAAAAGCTTTGATTTTACCATCCATATTGTTGTGAAGTACTACACAAAAAATGCTGTATTATGTGATGGCAGGTAATTTATTTTCTGTATTTCTATACCATTTATTTTATATTAAATTTTAGCATTTCCAAACAATATGTAAATATTTTATGGAAATAAAAGGTATTGATTCAAAATACATTGTGATTACCAGGGTCATGTCACCAATGCAACTCGTAATCATTAGAGAGGCACATACATTATTATTACTTATTTAGTTGTATATTAACCAGTGTCTGCTACTTTTTTAACCAACTTCAAAAAGGAGGAGGTTATACATGTGCCACTACATTATTATTATTATTTTTTATGTATGTTTACCGATTTCGCATCCTTCTGTGGGCCGATTTTCAAAATGTTTATTCGAACGTGTATATGCCGGTGGTGGTCTCATACATTTTATTGTTATCTGACGTGAAGTTAAGGATGGAAATAGTTTATAACTTTTTTTTGCCTAAAGCAATATTATTTTTCTTTTCTTTTGTCTCTTCAAGCACACAATCATAATACAATTGTTTATTTGACTTCACAATAGTTAACTTCGAAAAAAAATCAAACCTTGATAATTATATTAATTTAAATAAGTCGCATCCATACTATTTAGCCTTCATGGAGCAGATAAATGTAAATTATTCACTATGTTTATGAACATGTTTTTTTGTATTTTTCTACCAGATGAGTAGTTTTTTTCATTGGAATAAATACTTAGTTTCATCATTTTTTCATTAGTTTTTATGTGACATTGGTTTTGTACCAATTTATGAGACTCATATTTGATGTATTCCTACTCAAGATCTGTAGAATATAACAACATACAATTGTTTAAACTAGCTTGGCGATAAGCTTAAATTATTGTAAACAAAACACCCAAGGTCCCTTAGGTCCAACGGTGGGCAAGGCCAACAATGTATTAACAACTGAAGAAATATGAGACCCACTTAAGTGACATTTGAAGAGGGCCTTTTTTTGTTCAAAGTTTATAAACATGTGCAGTATAAAAAAAATGTATTGAAACACATGACAATTGCTTTTTATTTTAAAATATACTCAAGGTTGTATAAGAATAAAAGAAATATTACATCCAGAAAGTGTTTTTATTTTTTATAAACAGGATAATAAAGATAAGTTCTAGTTAACCCATTTTATTTCCCTTATAACAATTGCACTTCCAATCAAAACCAGGTGTAATGTAAGAAATTACGTAAATAAATATGTTTTATTTATAAAACTAAGAAGTGTTATACAAAATTCAATCACCTTTCGAAAAAATCTAGATTTTTTATAACCTAGGTGTCAAAAAATACCCTATCTGTGACGAGTCCTGTACTGGGATTCACGGATGCGCGGAATTGTCATTTTATTATGTCACGTATGAAAGGTTAATAAAATGAAATATTACTTACTGTTCCATGATTTTATTGCTGAATAACAGTATAAAATGTGAAACTGAGCACAAACACAATAGTTCTTTCGCGGCAATCACAGACTGTCTCGATCACAGATTAAAACAACAAAAGTCAACTTTTTTATACCACAGACTTCCCAAATTCTATGTGAGAGGAGACCCTGTTCTTTCGTGAACAATTCGTAATACGTGCGAAAGGGATAGAGCTTTAGGACGCAATTTAATAGGCATTTAAACAAACATCTGTGCCGCGTCCTGTGACAGGACGCGTCACGTTGCGCGATTATTGACGTGTCCTGCTACAGGACTCGTCACGTACGAAAGGATATGTAACGCCATCTGTCTCTATGTTAATGTCCGATGCCACATCGATTAACTTTCCCAGTGAAGATATCGAAAACTTGCCACTAAAATCACCTTTGATCGAAACTTCACCAACGGCATCACTGTCACAAACTAGAACTGTAAGGCTAGATGACCAACCATCTCCGGAAGGAGCTACATCTTCTTGGAGTACACAAGGGACAATGAAAAACATAGAATTCACCAAAACCCAGGAATTACTAGTTCCACCTCCATCTGATCCATTTGAGGCATTCCGGTTACTATTAGACGATAATATTCTAGATTTGATAGTGCGTGAAACTAATGCAAATGCCATTCGATTACTGAAAGCCCCTGGTGTCAAACAATACTCACGAATAATGTCCTGGAAAGATATGACACGAACTGAATCGTTAACATTTCTTGGGTTAGTCCTTCACACAGGTACAATCCGGCTGAACAGACTCTGCGATTACTAATCATTGATTATTGATTAACAATCCTTGCTTTGCAGAATATATGTCACGCAACCGTTTTATGCTAATATTGTGTTGCCTTCATTTTTCATCTGAAGCAAATGAAGAAGACCGACTGAGCAAAATTCGTTCAATAGTAGATCATTTCAACAATCGAATGAATGATATTTATTACCCAGGCAAACAGCTTTCTCTTGATGAATCGATGGTGTTGTGGCGTGGATGTCTCCAGTTTAGGCAATACATTAAAAATAAGCGACATAAGTATGGAGTGAAGTTATACGTACTTGCAGAACCAGAAGGTACAGTACTCAAATTTCAACTATACGATAGTGCTGGTGATGAAACGTCCGGAATAGGACACACTCAAAAAATAGTTTTAAAGCTACTTGAAGAGAAATTGGACGTGGACACAGTGTTTATATGGGCAATTACTATAACTCCTACGATTTAGCTGTTAAATTATTAAATCGCCAAACTTGCTGCACGGGTACTTTAAACAAAAATCGAAAAGGTAATCCAATAGACCTTGTTACTGTCACGTTGCGTAAAGGAGAAAACAAGTCTTTGTTTTTAAATGGTGTACATGTAGGCAAGTTGAAAGATAAGCGATACGTGCTTTATATATCGACAGAGCACGACGGCGAAATGATGGAAGTCACCAACAAAAGAGGCACTGCTATCGTAAAACCATCAGCAATTATACATTACAACAAGTTCATGTCTGGTGTTGATTTGCAAGACCAAATGCTTTCGTATTACCCTTGCGAAAGAAAAACCTTGCGATGGTATAAAAAGATATAAAGTGTATGGTATAAAGTCTGATTGAAAGCTGTTACCCTTTGTCTGAAGATTTGACTGAAAGCTTTAACGCTTTGTCGTTAAACTTAACTGAAAGCATTAAAGATTTGTCGTTAAACTTAACTGAAAACTTAAACGCATTGTCTGAAGACTTGACTGAAAGCTATGACACTTTGTCCGAGGTGTACGGATAACTGCTAAAAGTTTCCGAGCTTAGCACATTAGTAGAGTTATGATTGCGACTCTAAGCAGTTCAATCGAGATTCAGTACTAGTCCGTGTTCATAGATCTGCTGTGGTACAGGTGGGTTGTGGAAACCAATGGTGTCTTATTATCTATTTTGTGATGTAGACGAGCAACGTGAGAGCACGTTGATTTGCACAATAGCCGTGTCGGAGAATGAATGACTTTCTCATTTATTCAAATAGCACTGAGCCTAGTGTCAATACTTTGTGGTTAACAGTGTATAGTGAAGTTGTCTATGTCATGACTGATATCCGTCAGTGGTGCTTGCGTTAATCGGAACATCACTTGCCGAGACGTCGCCTGCGCCGGTTGTGCGCACTAATCGACAATAAATCAAGATGGCGGACAACAATATTCAACACGTGGATTTAAATCCTTTTGAATCTGCGAAACATATATATGCGAATCTATTGTAGCGGTCTAAGGTTTCGTTCGTCGGGTATTGCAAAGAAATTTAATATTTATTTACCTATATACATACAGCCTTGGCCAAAAGTATTAGGCACCTACATTTTACTTAAAATAAAGGAAAAAAAACAACTTATACTTTTTGAATTGATTTATTACCATTAAAATTCACAAAAAGGAATGAAAAAAACTTAAAATCTAGTCGGTCCACCTTTGGATTTAATTACTGCACTAATTCTAGCTGGCATGCTGCGTACAAGCTTAGTACGATCCTCCCTAACAATGGCATGCCATTCTTGTACTAAAGCATTTTTTAGTGCCGTTTTCGATGTGATACTATGCTCTTTAATCTTGCGCTTCAAAATGCTCTAAAAATGTTCAATTGGGTTCAAATCTGGTGACTGCGCTGGCCAATCAAACAAGTCAATGTCGTTTTCAGTAAACCAACGCATCGTAGTCGCTGACTTATGACAAGGTGCATTGTCTTGCTGGAATATAACTATTTTAAGAACATAATGATATTAAAGTATATAGTAAGCTCTAATTTATAAATATATACCGAATAGGTTTGATTTTATAAGTACGAGTGTGGTGTTCTATTTGTAATTATAGGTTTTTATTAATTAATTAATGTAGTCCAAATTACATTGTATTTATCATCAGACGTAGTACCTCCTACTACTACTACTACTACTACTACTACTACTACTACTACTACTACTACTACTACTACTACTACTACTACTGTTGTTATTAGAGTGTGCGATTGTTGTTCGTTCATAGATTTAGTTGAACATAATGTACTTTGTCTCTGGTTGTGTTGGCTTTTGTTGTTTGTTATTATATAATATGAAAATATTTGTGGCCCTGAAAAGGGCCTTTTGCTTTACTTTCGAGTAGTCTCGTATCCATAGACGTACACACATTACGTAAGTAATGCTCTGCGGTGGTGGTGTGGTGGCAGTTAAAATGGCGTTTTAGGCTGCGGCGGGACACGCCTCCTCCTCCTCCTCACTTGGAGTTGGTGTACTTGGTGACAGCTTTGGTGCCCTCGCTGACGGCGTGCTTGGCGAGTTCGCCTGGCAGCAGAAGCTTCACGGAAGTCTGCACCTCCCTAGATGTGAAAGTGGACCTCTTGTTATAATGGGCGAGACGGGACGCTTCGGCGGCGATACGTTCAAAGATGTCGTTCACGAACGAGTTCATGATAGACATTGCCTTACTGGAAATACCGGTGTCCGGGTGGACCTGTTTGCGCTTGTAGATATAGATAGCGAAGCTCTCCTTCCTCTTGTGCTTCTTCTTTTTCTTGTCGGTCTGGTCGGAGATGTTCTTTTGGGTCTTGCCCCTATTTCTTGGCGACCTTGGGCGGCATTGTGTATTAAGTGGCGTAGGTGAGTGAACATGAAACGATAAACGACCGTACCGTGCGGAGTTCTATATTATTATTATATTATTAACATTTGGATATTTCTATGAAGACAAAAATCTTAAAAGCTGATTTAAAGTAAGGTCTTAGAAGAAAGCGAATCTGAAATTTTTTATGATAGTCTATTTACAAATGATGATGAATATGATGACTCCGATGAAATAGCTGGAATCTCAATTAAAACTTCTTCCCAGTATTTTTCGTATCAATTCTTCTCTATAGCAAAAAACGATATCCTTGAGAAATTTCCAGCAAACATAGTAGACTGTTTGTTAATTTACTATCCCGTATGATCAGCATTTGGAATTGCGCGCTTTGGATTAGCGAGAGATAGCAACATCACTGCTGAAAACGGGTTTAAGGTACTATAAGAACAAGTATTGAACAAAAAAGAAAACAATTGTAATCCCACTCATAATAAAAAATGGAGAGATTCAGGGGCAACTACAATAGAGAAAGTTTCCCCCTTAAACTTTGCGCCAAAAACAGAACAAAAGAAAAATAACAAACGATCAGTCCTCTGATGACGAAGAAACTGTTTTTTTTTTATGTGATGTATATCCAAGTGATTTCCCTAATCTTGAAAATAATGTAAATGGATTTTTTATTGATGCTCTTAGTTTTGCATCTTTGGATCCGTATGTGGATGAGAATCAGTACTTGCATAATGGGGTCATTAATGGATTATTTGGTCTTTTGCCGGATATTGCACAACACAGAGACGTACCAATCCAATGTGTTGACACATATTTTTTTGAAAATATTTTAACACGTACGTATATTTTATTAAGTGGGCAAAGTCACAAAATCTTTTGAATAAAACAATTTGGATGATTCCACTTAATCATGCATGATACTGGACCTTGTTTACGGAGATTTTAGATCTTAAGGTGATGATTTATTTCGATTCTACACATTGTGAGCTGAAACCGAAGATGATCGATGGAATGTGTGCATTTATTGCAAGCTTGACTGAAAAACAAGTCCCGTGGCGAGAGTAGAAAATTTACTGGCCAAATGATATTGCAAATCAAAAAAATGGAATGGGTAATACTAGTAGCCAATTGCGGCGTGTATGACTACGAATGGGGTGCCAGCGTAGCCTCATTCTCATCTACCCACTTTTGTGAGGATGATATGGATAAAATAAGATTTGCTGTCGCGAATATTTTATACTACTCAAACAAGAGCCAAGACAAAGCCCAAAGAGCACGAAATAAATAAAACCGAAGAAGTGCGGTGAACTGTGGTTATCTCATCAAAAATACACAAAATTTAATCGGCCTCTGTTTGATTTACTTAGTATTAACCGATAAATTCAAAACTTAAAAAAAAACTGTTAATTTAAATACAAAGTACAGACAGTTGAATTATATTTATTTTTATTTTTGTATTTTTGTAGTTCCTTATAAATCAAGTTAGTCATTAAACGTTAGCCTGAAATTTAGTGATGTAACATTAAAAATGAAATCTTTTTTAATTGGCTCATTAGATGGTCGAATCATCGTCACGAACAGACGTACAATAATAACAAAATGTAAATTTACATTTCATAAATAATTTAATTATTCTGTACAAAGACAATGAACATTAAAAATTAAGTGCATTTGTGACTATGAGTAGCAGCCCCTTTATTAGGAGAGGCATAACGCGCCATACTCCTCCACCCACGACTCCTAGGATGACGGATGGGATCTATTGAACAGTGCTTAATTGAAGTTTATACTATTGAACCAAAAGATGAAATAAATAATAAATATATAATATAATAGCCGTAAAGTAACAAACGGCGTTGCCCAAATGGCTGTTCAATATCAGTCACTCAAGCAAAAAGCCCTTCAAGCGCATAGTTCTTTACAACACGCAGCTGAAATAGAAGATCTTAGGAATTCCAGTAACTCAGATCAAGCAGGCCATCCAGGAATAAAATGTAAAACAGGTACCAGCCAGCGCATCTTTTGCTGATATGGTAAAGAAATGATCCAGCAACTTTGTCCATCCTAACAGTCTCAGCTTGGTAGTTATTTATTCAATTAATAATTCCAAAACTAGAGAGTATACCAAGACAATGGTGCAGAAAATTCAAATTCGAGGCGTTCGTAAGATCAGGAATGGCGGTGTTGTCATCAGTACTAAAACAAAAAAATATATAGAGAAGCTCAAGCAGACTGTCCAACTTGCCGAATCAGGACTTAAGGTTGACGAACCATATCAGCGCAATCCTCGTATTAATATTATAGGAGTTCCCACAAAAATGACTAAAAATGAGGTTTATAAATGTATTTTTAAACAGAACGTAGCCGACAAATTACCAGAATTGACTAAAAATGCATATCCTCGATTAAACTTGCCACAAATCGGGCAATAAAAATGCTGAGACCTACAATTATATTATTGAGGTATCTGCCGTTATACGTAATGCTCTAATTATTCAGAATCGGTTATTCATTAACTGGACTTGGACCTGTCCGGTCAGAGACTTGCTTGACGATGGTGACCAGGTGCTTCAAGTGCCAGCACTACGGGCACGCAGACGGGACATAGGACATGGTGGTGAAGACGGTTATTACATTCAAGACTGCACAAGAAAGGCGAACCACCTAAATGTGCAACGTGCTTGCGCTTCGAAAAGCCAAGCAACCACAAGACGGGAGCCTCTGATTGCCTAGCTAGATAGGCAGCCGAATATAGGTACAATGATTCTATTGATTATGAAAGCACCTAAGAGCGTCGCATATTCCCTTGTATATATTAGATGTAAACCTTGATTAAGTTAATTTATGGATATTAATTTATTTATGGAAATAGATAATTTTGCCAGAATTTTAGTTTCTGCCTCAGACTCAAAAGCGTGTACAGTGGAGGACTGCAGACAATTCCTTTCCGTTTACCAACGATTCATTAACCATATTTACCCACAGGTCACACACATCAGAGCGGTTCCTGTCTCGATCATATGATGATCAAATCTAGCTTATCATCTATCACGCTTGTTACTAACTCAACATTTACTGATCTTCACGCCGTTCTACTTGCTGTAAATTAACCGCTGCCTAGGCAAAATTGATCTACAACAAAGACTAATTTAAATATGAACAAGCTCGAGTATGATTTATGTAATGTTGATTTTAGCCCAGTTTACAATAGTGCTGACGCTAATGTAACTTTATCGTATTTCATACAGAATGTCCAACAAGCAATATTATATAACATATCTACAATTGTCTTTAAAAAGGAGTATTGTCATATTAAACCTTGGATAACTCCTGGTCTAGTTCGATGTATTAAACATAGAGACAAGCCATCAGACCGCTCGTCGATTTGGCTCTTCAAACAACATACAAGAGGTACAGAAATTTCTTTAATAATCTTTTGAGAAAATTAAAAATAACCTACGATAAATATATATTAAATGATAAATCGATGACGACTGCACGGATGGCGTAGTGGTTTAAGCAGTCGCCACACCGCTGCTAACAACGCTGAGTGTTGTGGGTCCGATCCGCACATGGGACGACACTTTGTGTGATCCACAAATTGTTGTTCTGAGTCTGGGTGTTCTTTGTGTCCGTTTCATGTTGTTTGTAAAGCGACACAGGATACATTCCAAATGCGGGAGTTGTCTTTTTTAAAGATAATATTGCATAGAGCAGGTAAGAATAGTATTGAAATTTGGATGAAACACACACACATTCTTGTATCACACATTATTGTACACAGCTGACGCGGTTCACGACTTAACTAATTTAATACTAGTGAACTCGGCAAAGGTAATCAGACCTTAGGGATCTTTCTAGACATTGCCATTTGTCACTATATTCATTTCTTCACTGCTAAACAAATTGGGGGCTTTTGGTATAAAAAATATGCATCTTAAACTTTTCGCAGACTATTTAAACAATCGGCACCAATGTGTTATCATAGGAAATGTCGTAAGTGATGATGAAAAAATACCAGGTTTAGCGTTCTCCAGGGAAGTATCCTTAGTCCTACGCTTTTCCTAGTATATATTAACGATCTATGTGGGCAATTCCACGCATAAGTCTACCATAAATAAAAAATATATATCTTATTTTGGTAGTAAGTCAGTATATATAGTATATAATAGTAAGTACGTAAGTACTTAAGTATGGTGGCAACATTTATGTTACTTTTAAGATTTTATAGTGGTAACAATTTTTTGTTTTTTTTTTTTCTGGCAACACTATCATTCTGGAGATGGCGTCATGAGCTCAGCTGATAGTGTTTCTTTGTGGTGGAGTTTTGATTAAATTTTTACGGTAAGTCTTTTGAATTATTGTTATGTTTTGTTATATACTGACTATTTAAACGATGACATATCGATAAAAAGTTCGTAATTCAAGGAAATTTTATTTTCTTAAGATATATTAGGTTTGTAAAATCACAGTGTCAAGTTGTACTGTCGGTCACAGAATATACATTACTTTTCTCTCCAATTAAAGTAAAATTACTTCAATATCATGAAAATAAGTATTTTTCCCTACTTGACGGCGTTACTCAAATGAAGCATATTTTTGTAGTGTCACTTACATTGTAGAGTCGGTCACGTAGTAGGTGAAGTCAGTCACAGCCCGTATCATAATTAAAAGCTTTTTGTTTGTTTTCTTTCATAGATGGCGAAAACAGCTGCAGAAAGGAAGCGCAAGCAGAGAGAGAAGTTGAAAGCTGAAGAATTAAAAAAAAAAAGGAATCTGAGAACAGGAAACGCCAACGACGTTTGGTAAAACAAACAGCATCGATTGACATTCTTAAAGCCTTACGTGAAAAAATCAGATGAGATGAGAAGGTACAGAAGTAAGATTAAAGAAAGAAAACTAATGTTAGAATCCATTGATACACCTGCCAAAGATAAGAGTCCTACTAAAGCATTTGCCTCAAAAAGCTCATATGAAAAAGCGGTCGCAAAAGTCAAACGGAATTTGCCATTCAGTCCTTCGAAGTGTGGATACTTTAGCAAGACAATTTACTCCTGAAATACGAGGGGAGGTCCAAAAGTTCGTGGAATGAAAAGGTGTTAAATAAAATGAAACAATAAATCGTTTTTTCCTTTTCAATATAATCACCCTTAAGCTACTACATTTGTTAGATCTATGAATTAATTTTTCTAAACCATCATAATTACATACACACTACCCGCGACTGCGCCCGGTGCAAGTACGATTGTGATATAGTTCTCAACTTTAAATAAATAAATACGGTAAAAAGTCAAAAGATAAGTCTAAAAGTAGTCATATTACGTTTCTATTAGTGTGGGAAGCCGAGGAAGCTATCATAATATACTAGTGTTGTTTTAGTTAGTGAAAAATATAAAATAGTACAATTGAGCATATTTTTTTCATCGTCAGAAAGTGAGAAGTTCGAGTGTAAAACGCAAACGCGTAAGTGACGCCGAATACACGGCGCCTACGACCTTTTTCGCGCGACATCTTGACT